TGCTATATACCGCTGGTCATCGCCGTCAACTACTACGTGGGCAAGGTGAGTTCAGAAGGTCTCAGTCAACGCCAGTTCTACAGCTCCGCTTCCGCATAGACCCAAGGCAAGCTGACGGCACGCGAGCAGGAGTCGTATGCAGGCGCAGGAAATCTGGCAGAGGAGATCCTTAGTGCCATACGCACCGTTGTCTCCTTCGGTGGCGAGAAGCATGAAGTGGAGCGCTTCGAGAACTTCCTGGTGCCCGCTCGCAAGGCCAGTCAATGGAAGGGCGCCTTCTCTGGCCTGAGCGATGCCATTCTGAAGTCGATGCTCTTCCTCTCTTGTGCGGGTGCTTTTTGGTATGGCGTGAATCTCATCATAGACGATCGGTTTGTGGAGGACAAGGAGTACACGCCAGCCATTCTAATGATTGTAGGTGTGGCATTGGTAAAACACAGAATATCTCCACTAAACTCTTATACCTTGACAGGCCTTCTTTGGCATCATTGTGGGCGCGGATAATATAGCGCGCACGGCGCCGTTCCTCGAGTCATTTGCCACCGCGCGTGGCTGTGCCACTAGTTTGTTCAAGGTCATTGACCTGCCCTCCAAAATCGATCCCCTGTCCACGGATGGCAAACTTTTGAACTATGGTCTACGCGGCGATATTGAGTTCCAGGATGTCTTCTTTCGCTATCCTGCGCGTCCAGAGATTATTGTGCATCGCGGCTTGAATATCAAGATCAGAGCAGGTCAAACGGTGGCTCTAGTGGGTTCTTCGGGCTGTGGAAAGTCCACTTGCATACAACTATTGCAACGCTTCTACGATCCCGTCTTTGGTGCTGTGCTGCTAGATGAGCTGGACATACGCAAATATAATATTCAGTGGCTGCGCTCCAATATTGCTGTGGTCGGGCAGGAGCCGGTGCTGTTCATGGGCACCATAGGTAACTTGTGCCATTCCCAGATATATGTAGTAGTATTTTACGCATATCTGATCTCTTGTTAGGTCAAAATATTAGCTATGGCAAGCCGAATGCCACGCAGAAGGAAATCGAAGCAGCTGCCAAGCAAGCCGGTGCTCATGACTTCATTAGTCAGTTGCCAGAGGTGAGTGGCGAGAAGAGAGTGTGATCCCTTGACCCTTCGATCTCTAATCCTTTTTCCTTTAGAGCTATCGCACTATGATTGGCGAGCGTGGCTCTCAACTGTCTGGCGGTCAAAAGCAACGCATCGCCATTGCTCGTGCCCTGATACAGAATCCCAAGATCTTATTGCTGGATGGTAACTATAAAAGCCATATAAATATATGTATACATTTCCTCTCTAATTCTCAGAGGCCACTTCGGCCTTGGACTATAACTCCGAGAAACTGGTGCAACAGGCGCTGGACCTGGCCAGCAAAGGACGCACCACAATCGTGGTATCCCACAGACTGTCAGCCATTCGTGGTGCAGATAAAATCGTTTTTATCAACGAGGGCAAGGTGCTGGAGGAGGGCTCACATGATGATCTGATGGCTTTGGAGGGCGCCTACTACAACATGGTCAAAGCAGGTGACTTCAAGATGCCGGAGGATCAAGAAAACGAAGAGAATGTAGACGAGGCAAAGCGTAAGCTCAGAAAGTAATCGTAAATCAACAATTGTCTCAGGTCAACTTGATTTGCAGGCAAGAGTCTAGCGCTGTACGAAAAGTCCTTTGAGACAAGTCCGTTAAATTTTGAGAAGAATCAGAAGAACAGCGTGCAGTTCGATGAGCCGATTGTTAAGTTCATCAAGGACAGTAATAAAGAAAAGGAGATTGTGCCAGCGCAGAAGCCACAATTCTTCAAGATCTTTGCAAGAATCATAGGGCTAGCACGCCCCGAGTGGTGTTACCTGATATTCGGCGGCATTTCAGCCATTGCTGTGGGCTGTCTCTATCCGGCCTTCTCCATCATCTTTGGCGAGTTCTATGCCGCACTCGCTGAGCAGGACGAAAAGGTGGCGCTCAGTCGCACTGCTGTGCTCTCCTGGGCCTGCTTGGGCATCGCTGTGATCACCGGACTGATCTGCTTTCTGCAGACCTATCTCTTCAACTACGCCGGCGTCTGGCTGACCACACGTGTGCGCGCGATGACCTTTAAGGCGATGCTCAGCCAGGAGATCGGCTGGTTCGATGAGGAGCAGAACTCGGTTGGTGCGCTCTCAGCGCGCTTATCTGGCGAGGCAGCCGGGGTGCAGGGTGCCATTGGCTATCCGCTGAGCGGCATGATTCAAGCTCTAGCGAACTTCATTTCGGGCGTATCGGTTTCCATGTACTATAATTGGAAGCTGGCGTTGCTGTGTTTGGCCAACTGCCCCATTATTGTTGGCTCGGTCATACTCGAGGCGAAGTGAGTGAATCAATAGATGCTCTATGTTTCGTATACTCCACTTTGTGAACTTGAATTTAAAATTTCCAGAATGATGTCGAATGCCTTGATTAGAGAGAAACAAGTCTTAGAGGAGGCCTCTCGCATTGCCACTGAGTCCATTACGAATGTGCGAACCATCGCTGGCCTGCGACGCGAAGCTGAGGTCATTAAGCAATACACGGAAGAGATTCAGCGTGTGGAGATTCTCATTCGACAGAAGCTGCGCTGGCGTGGAGTCCTCAACTCCACCATGCAGGCTTCCGCGTTCTTTGCCTACGCCGTGGCGCTCTGCTACGGCGGCGTTCTGGTATCCGAGGGTCAGGTGCCCTTCCAGGATATCATCAAGTAAGTTGCTCGTTCACTCTAGATTATAAAATCTGGTTTTTTATCTATATCTGTGTCCGACTCACAGGGTATCTGAGACACTGCTCTATGGCTCCATGATGTTGGCCCAATCGCTGGCCTTTACCCCTGCCTTTACCGCCGCCTTGGTCGCTGGCCATCGTCTGTTCCAGATTCTGGATCGCAAGCCGCGTATTGTCTCGCCTATGGGCACTATCAAGAATACGCTGGCCAAGCAACTGAATCTCTTTGAGGGCGTGCGCTATCGCGGCATCGAATTCCGTTATCCCACGCGACCGGATGAAAAGATTCTGAATGGGCTGGACTTAGAGGTGCTGCAGGGTCAAACGGTAGCTCTGGTTGGGCATTCCGGGTGCGGCAAGTCCACTTGCGTGCAACTGTTGCAACGTTACTACGATCCAGACGAGGGCAGCATTGTAAGCCATTCACCAGGCTACATCAATAGATATTCCTTAAATGTTTCCCATGTCCACAGCACATTGATCAAGATGACATTCAGCACGATCTAACACTGGATGGTGTACGCCGTAAGCTGGGCATTGTCTCACAGGAGCCGTCGCTCTTTGAGCGCACCATTGCCGAGAACATTGCCTTCGGAGACAATCGTCGCACTGTGCCCATGGCGGAGATAATTGCAGCTGCCAAGAGCGCCAATGCCCACAGCTTCATCACCTCGTTGCCCAATGGCTACGAGACGCGCATGGGAGCACGAGGCACACAGCTGTCCGGTGGCCAGAAGCAACGCGTGGCCATCGCTCGTGCTCTGGTTAGGAACCCACAGATCCTGTTGCTGGACGAGGCCACCTCAGCTCTGGACTTGCAAGGCGAACGGGTAAGCAGACAGTCGACTTCAAAAAGAGAAATCCCTAACTCACTCTCTCCACTTGACCGGCAGTTGGTTCAGCAAGCTTTGGACTTGGCCTGCTCTGGACGCACCTGCATTGTAATTGCCCATCGCCTCTCGACGATTCAAAATGCTGACGTCATTTGTGTTGTGCAGGGCGGCAGAATTGTGGAGCAAGGCAAACATTTGCAGCTGATTGCCCAGCGCGGCATCTATGCCAAGCTGCACAGGACCCAAAAGGATCATTGAGATTTGAAAGGATCCATTTATTTGAGATTTTTCTATTACTATATGTACGTCTACAAACTATTTTTCAATAAACTTTCTTATAATGCCCAGTATTTTTCCAAATCACCTGTGGCAGCCCATTGCAGCTCTGTGATATAACACAATTTCACGCATTGCTGCCAGCTAGAATTTAGTTAGAAAAATATTCGTTACTACATATAAAAGTTACGGAAGCCACTGGAAAGTTGAGCAATAAAAAACTCAAACCACTGAGCCGAGTAATGAAGAGAGAGCTGCTACTCACCACAGAAAAAATAATGCTGAACGAATTTGGTACTCACCAATAGCAGAAGCGCATGGATTCCAGTGAAGCCGCAATTCACCACCAATAGAGGCAACTACGTAAAAGACAGATATTACTCACCACGAATGTTCAAGGAAAGCCGCCAACTCACCACAAACAGCTCAGCAGGAACAAAGCAGCGCATGCGAGCGCGCTAGGGAAACGCTAGCTAATGTGTATGTTAACTTAACAGTGGGACGTTACGTTATCGAGCATTTGCTTAAATATAATACGTAACGTTAACATTGGGATATAACATCCGCATTTGGAAAACTAAAAATGCTTGGCTCATGCCACTTTTGCGATATTATAACATTTGTTTATCAGTTAGCAAATTCTACGCATCTAAAAATGCACTTCTCGTACCATTAAAGATCGTGGCTCTGTTATAGATAAAGTGTAATCTTTATGCCAGATATTACACAAAAGACAATTAGATGTCAATGCCGCGATAATTTGGATTATATGCAAATATTAGAATAGCTATCATTGATAAGACAGCAAGCTAAAGTATTAAAGAGCATTTCTCAATTTTTACACCCAGCCTAACCCTTTAGTAGCCTAAGGAATGCACTGCTGAATATTAACATATTTTATGAAATATCATTCGAAAACTATGCACACCTTAACGAGCGACCTCTGCACATTTCCTACACTTTCTGAACCTTGAGAAAAATCAATCCAATTGAATTTTATTAAAAATAAAATAAGAGAAATTGCAAAAGCTGCGAGCGCAGAAATGCATTTTCACTCAAAACTATTTGCGCTCTTTCGGTCATTTGACCATTAACAGAAACGAAATTGATAAAAGACGAACCTCTCACTAGCCAAATCGACAGTTCGAGTTCGCCTTTCAAACGAATCGGTACAACGCGTAGAGAACCCGAAAGCATTCGAGTCAAGAAACAAACAAAAATAAGCACAGATATTCTGCGTTATGTCAAGAGAACACCTAGCACCAGAGATCGTATAGTAAACAGAGCTAGTCAGCTGCCGGGTCATCTCCCCCCAGTGTCCACCTGCAGACAGAGATTCGGTGCACGCTAACTATTAATTGACCCCGAGGGTAAATGATTATAGGCGAAAAGTTAGCTGTCTTTAACTACGTCAATGGCAGAGCCCAGCATGCAGAATGGCGATGCGGACGACGCTGGCCAGGCGGAAGCGAAGAAAATTAAGTCGAAACAGCCCCAAATGGAAACTGTCAACTATTACCAGCTCTTTCGCTATGCTCGCCGCATCGACTATCTGCTACTCGTCTGTGCCCTGATCGCAGCGCTCCTGCATGCTCTGGTGTTTCCCATTGCCATCATTGTCTACAGCGAGCTAGTGGCCATGTTCATTGATCGCAGCCTGGGCGTGGGAACCAGCTCGGGCACCAAGGCGCTGCCTTTGTTCGGTGGCGGCAAGCAGCTGTGAGTCTAGCCCCGCATCTAAGCTCATGCCCGCTCTTAAGGCCCGTTTCTTATAGCACCAATGCCAGCTATGAGGAGAATATGCAGGAGCTACGCAAAGATAGCGTCGCATTCGGCATTCTGATGACCCTTGACTCGCTCTTGATGCTCTTTTCCGGCATGACCTTTGTGAACATATTCAATCATCTGGCTCTCAAGCTGACGGTAAGCATGAGGCGGGAGTTCTTCAAGGCGACGGTCAGGCAGGAGATCGGCTGGCACGACATGGCCAAGGATCAGAACTTTGCCGTGCGCATAACGGAGTAGGTAGAGGTGTCGCATCCCAATTGAAGTACTCTGATTTATTGACTGAATCACTTTCAGTAACATGGAAAAAATACGCACGGGCATAGCTGAGAATCTGGGACACTTTGTAACCATCATTTGCGATGTGGCCATTAGCGTTATCATATCCTTTGTCTATGGCTGGAAATTGGCCTTGGCCATGTTCTTCTACATACCCCTGACCATGGTGGTGAATTCAGTGGTTGCTCACGTGAGTGGTGCTGTGTTGTCCAGCAAATAGAGTCTCTAACAATCAACCCCACAGTACCAAAGCAAGCTCACAGCGCGGGAGCAGAGCTCCTATGTGCGCGCCAGCTCGGTTGTGGAGGAGGTAATCGGAGCCATACGCACTGTGGTGGCATTTGGAGGCGAGCACTCCGAGTCGACACGCTACGACACCCTGCTCAAGCCCGCACTCAAGGCGGGCAAGTGGAAGGGCGCCTTCTCCGGCCTCAGCGATACGGTCATGAAGGCCATGATGTTCATTGTGGGCGCGGGCGCCTTTTGGTATGGCGCCAATTTGATTCTGCACGATCGGGCCAGCGATATGCCCATCGAGGATCGCAAGTATACCCCAGCGATCGTCATGATTGTGATTTCGGGCATCATTGTGGGCGCTAATCAACTCTCACGGACTTCCCCCTTCTTGGAGACCTTTGCCATGGCCCGGGGATCAGCGCGCGCCATCTATGATGTTATTGATCGCGTGTCCCTTATCGATCCGCTCTCCAAGGCTGGCAAGATACTCAACTACGGCCTGAAGGGCAACATTGAGTTTCGGGACGTGTTCTTTCAGTATCCCGCACGAAAGGATATTATTGTGCTGAGAGGACTCAATATCACCGTCAAGGAAGGTCAAACTGTGGCGTTGGTTGGCTCCTCGGGCTGTGGCAAGTCCACCTGTGTGCAACTGCTCCAACGTTTCTATGACCCAGTATTCGGACAAGTGTTCTTGGACGGCGAAGATGTGAGGAAATATAACCTCAACTGGCTGCGCTCCAATATAGCTGTGGTTGGCCAAGAGCCCGTGCTTTTCCAGGGCACCATTGGTGGGTATCTTTAGATAATAAACTGCAATGAATCGATAGTAAAAGTTTCCTCGTCAGCTGAAAACATTCGCCATGGCAAGCCGCTGGCTACCCAAAAGGAGCTCGAGGATTCCGCCAAAGCCGCCAATGCGCATGAGTTTATCATTGCGCTGGATAATGTGAGATCTCTCAGGGAAGTCATATACACTATCTAAGCTTCTCTCTTCGCCAGGGCTATGACACGCACATTAGCGAAAAGGGTGTTCAGCTGTCAGGCGGACAGCGCCAACGCATTGCCATAGCCAGAGCCCTTATACAGAATCCCAAGATACTTCTCCTAGATGGTAAGTCCTCGATTCGGATACCTCCCGAGCACCAGGAACTACAGTTATCACTCCTTGCAGAGGCCACCTCCGCGTTGGACTATCACTCCGAGAAACTGGTTCAAGCTGCCTTGGATAAGGCCTCCAAGGGACGCACCACGCTCGTTGTCTCGCATCGCTTATCCGCGATCAGGCATGCTGATCAAATATTTTACATCGAGAACGGCAAAGCGGTGGAGCAGGGCACCCATGAGGATCTCATGAAGCTGGAGGGACACTACTACAAAATGGTAGCAGCCCATGAATATGACGACAAGGCTGATGAGCTACTCCATGAGGAGCTGCCTGAGCAGCTGCCCAAGGAACGCAAGCAGTCCAAGGATGTGGAACAATTCCAAAGAAACTCTGTAAAATCCCTAGATAAAAACTTGGAGTTTCCAATGAAGGGCTTGCATCAAAGTAAGAAACAAGTCGCCGAGGAGCTGGAGAAGTCCGCAAATGCAAAGAGCATCAGCTATCCGCGTACATTCCTGCGAGTCCTGGCTACAGCACGCCCCGAGTGGTCTTTCCTGATCATTGGCACCATATGCGCCGGACTCTATGGCTGCGCCATGCCAGCCTTCTCCATTGTGCTGGCAGAGCTGTATGCCTCGCTGGCCGAGCCCACGGAAGAGGCGGTGCTGGCGCACAGCTCCTCCATGTCCATCATCACCGTGGTGATTGGCGTCTGTGTGGGCATCTTCTGCTTCGTGCAAACCTTTTTCTATAATCTAGCCGGAGTGTGGCTAACCTCACGCATGCGGTAAGGCAAGAGATATTTGATTTCTACTCTTTCCTCCTTCACCTACTCAAGTGGCTGTTTTACTCCACAGCTCCAAGACATTTAGCGCCATTATGAAGCAGGAAATGGGCTGGTTTGATGAGAAGGAGAACAGTGTGGGGGCGCTCTCCGCTCGCTTGTCGGGCGATGCAGCCAGCGTGCAAGGCGCTATCGGGTTTCCGCTCAGCAACATAATACAGGCGCTCACCAACTTCATCTGCAGCTTCTCCATTGCCTTCAGCTATTCCTGGGAGCTGGCGCTCGTCTGTCTGAGCACAGCTCCATTCATGGTGGGCTCCATAATCTTTGAGGCCAGGTTCAGTGAGAAGTCGGCGCTGAAGGAGAAGAATGTATTAGAGGAAACGAGTCGCATAGCCACCGAAACAATTTCACAAATACGAACTGTGGCTGCTCTGCGCAGAGAAGAGGAACTGATCAAGGCCTACGATGCGGAGGTGGAGCGATATCGCCTGCAAATAAAGAGCCGTCTGAAGTGGCGAGGATTGGTCAACGCCATGGGCATGACGCTAATGTTCTTCGGCTACGCCGTCACCTTGACCTACGGCGGGTTCATGTGTGCCGAGGGCAGAATCAAATTCGAAGTGATCATGAAGTGAGTCCATCTACATAGAAGACACTTCCATATCATATATCATATTGCCACTACTAGGATCGCCAACACAATGCTCTATGGTCTGTTCATCTTGGCTCAGTCCTTGGCCTTCACGCCAGCCTTCAATGCGGCGCTGCTGTCCGCCACACGCATGTACGAGATCATAGATCGCTCGCCTCTGATTCAATCCCCAAATGTGATGGATCAGATGGGCAACGGCAAGATCTGCAAGACGAACGTTGTGGAGCAGGGCGTCAGCTATCGTGGCCTCAATTTCTCGTATCCATCACGACCCGATAACGAGGTGCTGAAGGACTTTAATCTCGACGTGCTGCAGGGTCAAACGGTTGCTCTGGTAGGCGCCTCCGGCTCGGGCAAGTCCACGTGTGTTCAGCTGCTGCTGCGCTACTATGATCCGGATGAGGGCAAGATTGTAAGTCGAATCAAAATCTCCAGGGATCATTATAGACTCTATGCCTGCTTCAGCTCATCGACCAGGAGTGCATACATCAGGACATGGAGCTGAAGACCCTACGTCGTCGCCTGGGCATTGTCTCGCAGGAGCCGTCGCTCTTCGAGAAAACCATCGCAGAGAACATCAGCTATGGAGACACCTCACGCACCGTGCCCATGCAGCAGATTATTGACGCAGCCAAGATGGCAAATGCCCACGATTTCATTATGACACTGCCCGCCCAATACGAGACCATGTTGGGCGCCAAGGGCACCCAGCTGTCGGGTGGCCAAAAGCAGCGCATTGCCATTGCACGCGCCATGGTACGAAATCCCAAGATTCTGCTGCTGGACGAAGCGACCTCGGCCTTGGATATGCAAAGTGAGAGGGTAAGTGGAGTCTGTGGTATGCCTGCAATGCAATCACTGTATTCAATCTGCAAACTCGTTTGCCAGGTGGTGCAACAGGCTCTGGACTACGCCTGTTCGGGTCGCACCTGCATTGTGATTGCCCATCGCCTGTCCACGGTGCAGAATGCCAATATCATCTGTGTGATTCAGGCCGGACGCATCATCGAGCAGGGCACACATGCCCAGCTGCTGGCCAAGAATGGCATCTATGCCAAATTGTATCGCAGTCAAGCCAAGTCCAAATAATGCGCACAACTATGCAACAATAGTAAAGGCATATGTTTAGCTTAGCCGAGACACAAACCACAGACCGCAAAAGTATGCTACAGTTTTTGTAAACAAGCTAGAAATAGAAATAATCTCGTATGCATACATAAATATATATGGCTAAACCAGACAAACTTGATTTGTGGGTGGCAGAGTGATGAGATTTTGGAAGAATTTTATATATTTATGTTATTGATATTTATATATATACGCTTGGTCTTTGGAATTAACCATATACAATCTTTAATTAGATCGAAACAGAATTTTAAGTTTTATGGAACACATTGACCTTACACTTTGCTTCTCATTACCATAGATGCTACTTCATTTTTCGTTATCTTATCTTTAAAAATTTGTTTGCCTTAGACAAACATAGCTTCTGTGTGGGAAATATACTTTGGAGCAATTAGTTGCGCATTGCGCTTTATATGGATCGGTTATCCAGAATTTCCCGAATGCTTATCAAAATTATTGCTTTGCTGCTGTTGTGTAAGCCTGATTAACAAGATTAATCACTTGTAGTAATATATATGTTTCTCAAGTCCACAGAGCGGTGCTAGCTGTAAGCACAGCTTGTCCCCTGGAGCAGTCCTGCGGCAAGGCAAACGACAGCAGCGCCATCTGCCGTCTGGATGAGCAAACTATGTGCATACGCAAATACGCATCGAAATGCCATATGGATATTGCAGCTTGTCGCGAGGGAGCGAGTACCTAGCAACCTAACCAAGTCACAAGACAAGCTTCACTTCAGTTAAACATAGCCTAAACCTCTTCATCAATCATCAATCATCAGTCAAGCTCACTTTCCATGCGCGTGCTACGGTTGGTGACACCATAATAATAGCCACCGCTAGGGTATATCCGATTCTTAATCATTCATTTGTGCTGTTGGCTACCGAAATTTAACCAGTCAAAACTCGTTTCGTTCAGACTACACCGACTTCAGTGACGTTTACTGCCAGATGGAGACATATATGTGCGAAGAGACGGCGACATATGAACGCTGGACCATATTCTTCGGGCACGCCAAAGATTGATACCAGTTCTAAATATAAAACGACAACAATAACTTTCAGTATTATGGGAAATATATATAATTAATGGTGTCTGGCCAAAGCGCCGATCAATGGGCATTTGCAGACAACGCTTTTTTTTCTTCACCTTTTTTGCGTGTCTCTCTATCACCAATGACGTCAAACGTATTTGCCCAGTAATCTGCGAAGCAGCGTGAGACTAAACGACGCCTCGAGCCCCCGTTTTTGAGCTTCTGTTTCTTGATTATTTGATCGGCTGGACTGTTTTGCATAATCTTCGCATGATTTGCCAATATTTGTGGGGAGCCGGTCAATGGGTTGACGCGAGTACGACCATGTATATAAGTTGTGGGGTTCCTCCTGCGGTCTGTCAGTCACTCTTCAATAATGCGTCTAACAGTAGTCTTCGGTTGGTTTCTGATTCTCCACAATTCGTTCGTTTGTCTGCATTCACATCCATGTTCCCTTACAGCACTCAGCATATTTGTGGGCGTGGTCGGCTGCCAGCCCACGGGATCGACGAGATCGCCAGACAGAGTGCTGCAGGAGCTGCTCTATGAGCAATGGCCGGGTGTGGAGGACGAACGAGACGCCGATGCTGAGCTGGATAATGCCTATGAGCTGTACAAGCACAAAACACGAAGACCCAAGATCCTACAGGATATATTGAATGCGATTGACACACATGATTTGAGCTAAGAATTGTAAAGATGAATACGGTACAAAGAGGTATCAGCCGAGGTTCCAACACTAACGGGTCTACAGTCATTATAGGATATGGTCACACTTAAGTTTCGAACAAAAGACATTGGACTTATGTCAAATTATGTCTGAGCATTTAAGGGTACACGGAAATTATAGGGCATACGACAAGCATTTCAGAAAACCCCCCCAAAAAAAAAGAGAATCATCATAGGTTATGGATGTAGAATATAAGAGTTCTATAATAAAAGAAGCTGCAAGAAAATACTCGAATGCCGTTATTCTAGTGAGCAAAAGCTAAAAACTGACAGCTAACATAAAACGGAAAAATAGCTTTTCAAAATTATTCGCTCGGAACGTGCAGATACGGTTGTTCCTCTTGCATTCCGCACGAAGATCACGTAGATCGAGCGGCTGGCGCAAGACTTACTATCTATAAAGCAGGTCACGGCAGTTGCAGCAGTATTCAGTTGAATTAAGTCGATTAACGCTAACGGAAATGTCACCAGCCAAGCTCTCATCAATCTTTCTTATCGGCTCCGTCTTGCTGTTGGCTGGTAAGTCCAGGAATTTGCATTGGCTTCAACTTTTTAACTCATTGTGAAATCCTCCTTCCACAGTTGAGGGCAGATCGTGGTTTGACTTCAGCAGTGAGGACGATCGCCAGAACGAGATAAGCGCCGAGGATTTTGGACGCAAAGTGATCATACCCGATGTGGAGCGCATATTCAGCAGTGCCGAGATCAAGCAGATATCCAGAAGCATCAAAGGCACAAATAAGATCAAGCGTCAAAACTCGGAGACGACGACGAAGAGCTCCAAGCATGCCCACGGCATGATCAAGTCCATGCTCAGCTTTGTCAGCAACGCAATGGGCTTTGGTCGGACCTTCCTCAGCAATGAATAATCAAGAGTGTAATTCAAGTCATATATTAATCATAGAAATCTGTTGTACAGCTTAAGTTATATTCTATCGAGGTATGAAATTAGTTCTAAATATAAACATAAATTATAAACTCATTTAATTTTTTGGGTTTTTTTACAAGTCATTCAAACGTGACATTGTATGCAAATTAGCCACACGACTCGAAATTCAGTTTGATGTGACGTCACGACTGTCTACGAAATATTTGTATGCTATATATAGTATACACATATCCAAATATATGTTAATTTTTACTAGGCATACATCAAGTTTTTGCTGGTTTGTTTGCTTATTGACAAATTCGTGAGCTTTCGGCCATTGCGTTCGACAGAAAACTTGCGTTTGGGGATTTTTGGTATATGTAAGCCGTTTATTTGATTTATTTCCAAAAATCTACATCTATTCCAATATATTCTGGGAAAAGTCACGGGCACTTAAAATAATTAATAATTTATTTAAAACTTATAAATATTAATACAAAATGTATAACATTTATTTACCAAAGATTGCACAATAATAAAATGAAATCGAAAGCCATTGAAGGCGTTGATTGTGCAAGCCGCTGAACAAGGTTAAACATACATACATATATTTGATATACATATATACATACTATATCATGATATGTACTTGGCATTTTGTTCTCACTTTTCGATTTAATTAACACGCCACAAATGATGAACAACAATAATTAACATTTGTGTAATTGAATATATTTTCGCTGAACGGTAACTACTAATGTATGTGGTGGTGTGCTTATATTTATGAATGATATTTATATACATATTTCGCAAATCAATTGAACTTAGCTAATGCGCCTCGAGCAGGTGATATTTGAACATCTTGTTGAGTGAATTCATATTCTGGGACAGCTCGTTGCAGACGTGAACCACGCAGCCTATGCAACAAAAAACAAAAACATTTGATTTTAGCTAAGCTATACGGATATGTACATATGTATGTGTATGTACGATATGTATGTGTTTGTTGACACTGTTACACTGACCCACAAGATATTTGATCACATTCAGCAGCACCATGTTGAGAACTGCGTCGATGCACACGCGCCGAGGCTTAGAACGAAATTGAGCACGAAAACCGAAAATCAACTGCGAATAAATAAATGGAAACTTAGGTGAGCGTTGACGCCAGCGCTGGCGCCGGCATCAGCGCCAGCGCCAGCGTCAGCGCACAGTGCGCACAGTGGGCCCAGGCTGAGCTGGACTGGTTTCGAATGCAACAGCAACAACAAATTGCACGATTCATTGAATTAAATTGAGGCGTTAATTGATTTGTTTAGCATGTGTGAATAAGGGCATGAATAGGCAAGAAATTGAGAGCTGAAATCTATTAACTACATAAGCAAAGCTTATTTATGTTTCTCTGCTGCTTTTGCACCAATGTGCTTGAGCTAAGAACTTCTAGGTGATGTTGCAATCGATCTGTCACACATACACATGCATATGCATGCTTCTAGAAAATATCTATTCAATTTATAGTTTGTTATTTTTTTCTATTTGCCCATGCACTTTAACGTTAATTTGCGTGAGTTGCAAGAAACAGCATCGACAATAACAACAGCAGCAACAACAACAATAACGTCAACGTAACGTGTTACGTCATCAGAACTCGTTTGCATCCATGGGGCGGCCGCCTGCACAGTGTGGCGAACGCAGCTGGTAACGAGCCAAATTGAGGCCAAACGAAAACTTTTGACACTCATAGCCGTCTTTATCAGTCCGATTATTTTAGAGTTTTTTGTCATTGCAAGAACTGCAATGCAATTGCAACCAGTTTCGATACGATTCGCTAAGTTTCGCTGCAAATGCCAACAGCTGTCGCCACAGTCGCCGTCGACTGCGCTGCCACTAGATTGGTCATGAATTTTAGCTGTATTTTGATCGTGATTTTCAGCAGCTCAATGCAGGCTGTTCGCGCAGGCCGTTACTTTTTTGGCTGTTTAATAGCTCTAGCAATAAACTTCAAGTTTTCAGTGATTGTAGGTTGAGTTTCGATTCAGTTTATTGGCTATGCCTGACTAAGAATTGGCTATGTGAGCCGTTATTCACCTTTAGACCAGTTATTTTTATTGGTATATGTATGTATTTTATATTTCAGCAAAACGAAACTGTGAGTTAACCAATACGTATTTATTCATACATTAAATTTAAGTTATAATTAGACGAAACTTTTATAAATGTACAGACAATTACAATTCCTGTTTTATTATCCAGTCCTTTTAACAACTGTTAAGCTTTTTATTAAATACAAATTTATAGTCTCTAACGGCTCTTCGCTTTCCAACAGCTACGTAAACAAGCTTCTTCAACAAGTGAGCTGTTGTGAGCGGTGTCTCACTCTCCATCTCACTCCCATTCCACACTCATTCCACGCACAGCAAAACGCCGGCCGGCATTTAGCAGCAGAGAGCGCGAGCACAAGGCGAGAGCAGAAAATAACTGGAAGTGCTGAGCGAAATGTAAACGAATAGCGCAAGCACAACAAACGACGTTAAGTGAGTTCGTTATCTCCGCTCTCTCAGCTGTGCGATGAAGTAATAAATGGACCGGGATCATCGACAGCCGACAACCGACAAGCGACAGCCGACAGCCGATCTTCGGGTGAGCCGAGCACTATCGCTGCTTCCGTCAGTTTCCGATGCAGACGTTATTTGTTTGGGGTACCGAGGAAAACTTCTCACTGCATGAACTTCAGTTGCTCGCGACGAGCCATCCAGTGCGGTTGGATGGGCTCTGAAAAGAAAAGTGAATTGTAATCGAAAAAGTGAAAAAGTAAATAAAAAGTGCCAGAAGATAAGAAAGTGGAATACATAACTGTGAACCGGAAGTGAGGCAAGATAAAGGACATTTCTTATTGCTGTGCGCCCGCTTGTGCGTGTGAGCGAAAGAGACAGAGAGTGAGAGCGCAGAATGGGGCTGCGTGCGACCCCAATCAGTGCCATGGGCGTGGCCTTCTGCCTGACCCTGCTTATCGCACTGTGCAATGCTGAGCTAACGCCGCCATATTTCAATCTGGCCACTGGCCGCAAGATACAAGCAACCGCCACATGTGGCGAGGATACAGATGGACCCGAACTCTACTGCAAACTGGTCGGCGCGAATACAGAGAATGATCACATTGATTATTCAGTTATTCAAGGACAGGTAGGATAAATTATACAGAAATATCAATCAGAATATTTCTAAAGAATTTTTTTTTTTTTTGTTTGCTTTCTAACTTTGAGTATACATACAATATTTCTTGTTGAAGATCTTTCGTGCCACATGTGTTGAACATTCAAATTTGAATCTATTTATGGACTGAAGTTTTATATAATAACATGTGTTTTTTTCTGGTTTTTAGGTCTGCGACTATTGTGATCCCAATGTGCCGGAGAAGAATCATCCGCCATCGAATGCAATCGATGGCACCGAGGCCTGGTGGCAGAGTCCGCCCTTGTCCCGTGGCATGAAATTCAACGAAGTCAATTTGACCATCAATTTCGAACAGGTAAACAGCAATCAGAACAAACGCACAACCGTCAAAGAAAGGTGTAGCCAAAAAAAAAAATAAATAAAATAAAAGAGTGCAGCGGGGGAGGAGGGAACCACAGAAAACGAGTCAATGCAACAGCATACATGTGTGTGTGTGACGTTCTCGTATGTGTGCTGGTTCGATCATCTTGAACTGTTCCTAACTCAGACAGCGAACTGGGAGACGTTCGTTCAGACAGGCTCGTAAAATTAGTGAGCGGATTGCTTGAAAAGAAAACAATTTTAATGGGTTTTCATTTCATTTTCGACGTCCACAGCGACGACGACGACGAAGAAGAAGAAGGGAACCCTGATTCTTTCTTTTTTTTTTGTATATTTTTTTTTGGTCAGTTTGAAGCCACAGCGAAAAATCTTGCTGAGCTGTTCAATCGCTGTTGTTGTTTCCCCTTTGGAGTTGGCGGGTTATCAGCTTGTTATGTACCGGACCCCAAGCACACACACACACATATGTATATACATGCTTATATATATAAATTTTTATGTTGGCTTGTCTCAGTTTACATGTTCACTTAGAAACTGCCACACCGAACGTTGACTCTTGTTTAATATTTATTTTTTTCGTAGCGATAAGTAGCTAAAAAAAAAAGGCTTCTTCGTGCTTAGAATTTATACAATTTAGTTCTTGATGCTCTATATGTACTCTCTAACTACTGATAGCACTTGAAAGAATTTTATATAGTCGCAGCCCACGCTTATCATTTAGTATAGTCTGAAATTGTTCCATATAACAACTTTGGGGTCACACTCGGCACTCGACTTATCGCACTTGCAACGGAAACGCTACAGATCATATAGCTGTAGTTACTTATAGCCCCAGTTCCATAGCATATACGTTACAGATGTACATATGTATGTATACATATGCAATTTAAGCTGTTGAGCAATGAAATGAGATCATCTAAAATCTAAAAATGCAAACGCCTGCAACATTCTTTTTAGTACTTTGAATGCATTTGGAGAAAATATTTGTAGATATACGCTGCGAAGAATTATGTAGGTATATATCTCAGATTAAAAATGCTGAAATGCTATTATAATCGCATTTAACTTAAACATACAACTGAAAATGACTTATACCTAAAAGTATTTTATATAACAACATAAACTCATTTCGTCTAGGCCTTATGTACTGCCAAAACTTTGTAAGCATACAAACCAGAGCCACTGTAAACAATCTTTTATTTATATATCTCTCTACATATACCTTCGAACATACATATATGTATGTATGCACATATATTCGTTTGGTTCCTTTTCAATTGACTTCAAATTGAAAAGCAAACGGCAAAAAAATACAAAGTAAACAAACATTTTGTGGACGCAGATAAATTTAGTATACTGGAGAGCATAGAGTTAATTCTCTTCAATGATCTCATGCAAGCTCTGTACGCATACACAAGGAACACACACACACAGCGAGAGAGGTATTGACATATCTACACAGATCTTATGTGTACACGAAGCTAATAAATTTTAATGAATTCGCTTGGCCTTTGGTAATCGTCTAGTGGGGAAAAGATTCTATTGCTCAAAGACTTTTAAGATGAGTTTGAACTTAGCAGATCATTAGTTGGGAATTATTTTAGAATTGGTATTACATATGTGTCTCAATTTATTTTGTAACCATTGGATAGAGAAATAAAGATTATAGCCTAACAGATCTTTGGATTACGAAGAAATATGTCTAATAGCCAGATTTTCTTTAATAAAATGAGATTATTTCAGAAACTAAGACTAGCTGGAAATATATTCCTTCTATCTTTAACACAATTTCCTCATAAATCATATCTTCATCTTTAGGAATTCCATGTCGCCTACTTGTTCATTCGCATGGGCAACTCGCCACGTCCGGGCCTCTGGACTCTGGAGAAGTCGACGGATTATGGCAAGACCTGGACGCCGTGGCAGCACTTCTCCGACACGCCCGCCGATTGTGAGACGTACTTTGGCAAGGACACCTATAAGCCAATAACGCGCGACGACGATGTCATTTGCACCACGGATTATTCGAAAATTGTGCCGCTAGAGAATGGCGAAATACCCGTGATGCTCCTCAATGGACGTCCCTCGGCCACCAACTACTTCAACTCGACCGTGCTGCAGGAGTGGACACGTGCCACCAATGTCCGCATACGTCTCTTGCGTACCAAGAATCTGCTGGGTCACTTGATGTCTGTTGCACGACAAGATCCGACCGTGACACGACGTTACTTCTATTCGATCAAGGACATCTCGATCGGAGGACGCTGCATGTGCAACGGCCATGCCGATACCTGCGATGTCAAGGATCCGCTGAGTCCGGTGCGCATTCTCGCCTGTCGCTGCCAGCACCACACCTGCGGCATTCAGTGCAACCAGTGCTGTCCGGGATTCGAGCAGAAGAAGTGGCGCCAGAACACCAACGCGCGTCCATTCAACTGCGAGCGTGAGTAGCATGTGTGACGCCTCCCATTCGAATATAAATTCATTGCATCTCTTCTTCTGATAGCCTGCAATTGCCATGGCCACAGCAACGAGTGCATCTACGATGAGGAGGTGAATCGCAAGGGTCTCTCCCTGGACATCCATGGCCACTACGATGGCGGCGGCGTCTGCCAGAACTGCCAGCATAACACCGAAGGCACCAACTGCAACAAGTGCAAGCCCAAGTACTATCGCCCCAGGGGCAAGTACTGGAACGAGACGGATGTCTGTAGTCGTAAGTGCATTGAGCTCGGAGTGGAGCTAAATGGGATTCATCAACTCTAATAACTTACTTGCAGCCTGCAACTGCGACTTCTTCTACTCGACGGGTCACTGCGAGGAGGAGACGGGCAAGTGCGAGTGCCGTGCCGCCTTCCAGCCGCCCAACTGTGACTCCTGCTCTTATGGGTGAGCAAAGTGACCTGCCACGTTAAGTGGAGCTAAGCTAACCTGTGACTCCTTCCAGCTACTACGGCTATCCGCAGTGCCGTGAGTGCGAGTGCAATCTGAACGGCACCAATGGCTACAACTGCGAGGCTGTCAACGGCATTTGCCCCTGCAAGACGAACTTCGCGGGCGCCCTGTGCAAGGAGTGCGCTGAATCGTATTACGGCTTCCCCGAGTGCAAGGCCTGCCAGTGCAACAAGCTGGGCTCCATCAACAACGACTGCGATGTCGTCTCCGGCAACTGCACCTGTCTCAGCAACTGGGGCGGCGCGCAGTGCGAACGGTGCAAGGATGGCTACTACAACGAGCCCACATGCTCCTGTAAGTAGATGCATTTCCGGATGAATTCTATTCCCTATATTCATGCCATCTTCTCCGGCAGACTGCGACTGCGATCATGAGGGCACCGAGTCGGAAATCTGCAATAAGGAAACCGGACAGTGTATTTGTCGCGAAGGCTTTGGTGGACCGCGCTGCGATCGCTGCCTGCCCGGATACTTTAACTATCCGTCGTGCCAGCCCTGCAACTGCTCCACCACGGGCAGCTCGGCGATCACGTGCGACAACACCGGCAAGTGCAACTGCCTCATCAACTACTCCGGCAAGCTCTGCAACATGTGCAGCGCCGGCTACTACAATTATCCGGAGTGCTTGCGTAAGTCGATGCATAGAGGGTGCTCACTCGAAAACTAAACCACATCATTTACAGCTTGCAACTGCGACGAACATGGCTCGGAGGGCGTGACCTGCAATGAGGACGGCTGCTTCTGGTATGCCCAATACGGCTGAAAGTAAATATATTATAAATCTCTACTAATCCCCTTTTTCATTTGCAGCAAACCCAACTTTGACGGTCGTCAGTGTGAGCGATGCAAGGAGTCCTTCTACAACTTCCCCGCCTGCGAGGATTGCAACTGCGATCCTGCGGGTGTGATCGATCAGTTTGCTGGCTGTGGGTCGGTGCCCGTGGGTGAGCTGTGCAAGTGCAAGGAGCGAGTGACGGGCAGGATTTGCAATGAGTGCAAGCCGCTTTACTGGAACTTGACCATCACGAATCCGGAGGGCTGTCAGGAGTGCGATTGCTTCATCGACGGCACCGTTTCGGGCCTGGACACCTGTGCGCCCAAGTCGGGCAATTGCCACTGCAAGCCCCACACGATGGGCCGACAGTGCCGCGAATGCAAGGACGGCACCTTCGATCTGGATGGCTCTTCGCTGTTTGGCTGCAAGGATTGCAGCTGTGATGTTGGCGGCTCATGGAAGAGCGAATGCGACAAGATCAGCGGCCAGTGCAAATGCCATCCGCGTGTTACGGGTCGCGCCTGCACCCAACCGCTGACCACTCACTACTTCCCCACGCTGCATCAGTTCCAATATGAGTACGAGGATGGCCATCAGCCGTCGGGCACTCTGGTTCGCTACCAGTCAAACGAAGAGGACTTCCCCGACTTCAGCAGCAAAGGCTACGCCGTGTTCAACGACATACAGAACGAGGTGCGCAATGAGCTGACCGTGGTCAAGTCCTCGGTGTATCGTGTTGTCATACGTTACATGAACCCCAACGAGAAGAACGTTACGGCTAGCATACTTATACAGTCCGAGAACCCACTGGAGGTGGACCAAAAGTGAGTTCGAACTAACTTGAACAACATCGAATCCGTGTTTCTAACATACATATATGTTATAATCCATCCAGTGTCAAGGTTCTGCTGCGACCAACAACCCAACCCGAGTTTGTCACCGTCTCTGGACCCAAAGGCAATAAGCCTTCGGCCGTCGTTCTCGATCCGGGACGTTACAACTTCACCACCAAGGCCAACAAGAATGTGATGCTGGACTATTTTGTGCTCCTGCCAGCTGCCTACTATGAGGCATCCATATTGACCCGTCACATAGCCAATCCCTGTGAGCTGGGCAGCATGGAACTGTGTCGCCATTACAAATACGCCTCCGTCGATGTGTTTGAGCCAGCGTCCAATCCGTTCATCATTGGCCCCAACGATAAACCGACAAACCCCACTGAGGTATACAGCGATCCAGAGCACTTGGAGATCGTCAGCCATGTGGGCGATATACCTGTGCTGAGCAACACCCAGAAGGAGCTCAACTACATTGTGGATGTGCCGCGCAGTGGACGCTACATCTTTGTCATCGACTACATCAGCGAGAGAAACTTTGCAGTGCCGTACGATGTGAACCTCAGGTTGGGCAATGATCCAGACTCTCAATCCTCGGTCTATCTGTATCCTTGCCTTTACTCCACGGTCTGCCGCACGCCCATCAATGACGACGGCCGCGAAAAGGCCTTCTATATCAACAAGGAGGAACTGCAGCCGGTCACCATATTTGTGAGTATTTTTGTTGGCCAGATCGGATCGATAGTTTCTTATAGCTAAACCATTTCAATGCTTCAGGCGGATATCGATGATGTCTATCGCGTGCCCATTATTTCCGTAACGGCCATCCCAGTCGATCAGTGGTCCATTGATTACATAAATCCAAGTCCGGTCTGTGTTATACACAACAAGGCCTGCGCCACCCCCAAGTTCCGCTCAGTGCCCGACTCGAAGAAGATTGAGTTCGAGACGGATCACGAGGATCGCATTGCCACAAACAAACCTCCATATGCCGCCTTCGACGAGCGTGTGAAGCTGGTGCACTTGGACAACCGACAGGAGGGCACAATTGTGATTGAGTCCAAAGTGTCGGAGCCGCACCGTTATGTCATTCTGGTGAAGTACTACCAGCCCAATCATCCCAAGTACCAGGTGCTCTACACACTGACCGCTGGCAAAAATCAATACGATGGCAAGTTCGACATTCAGCATTGCCCATCCAGCTCGGGTTGTCGTGGAGTCATTCGGCCCACTGGCGACAACTGGTGGTTCGATATTGAGGATGACTTCAAGTTTACCCTGACGGTAAGTATGGGCTACAAACTTGTAACTCTACTTCTCTTTTGATTTGATATCATATCATCCTCTTTATAACAGAACTCGCGACCCCAGGGCGTTTGGTTGGATTATTTGGTGGTGGTGCCTGTCGATCAGTATAATGACGATCTCTTAGTTGAGGAGACATTCGACCAGACCAAGGAGTTCATCAAGAGCTGCGGCCAGGATCACTTCCACATCACACACAATGCCAGCCAGTTCTGCCAGAATGCTGTGTTCTCCCTGACTGCGGACTACAACAGCGGCGCATTGCCCTGCAATTGCGACTATGCCGGCTCCACCAGCTTCGAGTGTCATCCGTTTGGTGGACAGTGCCAGTGCCGCAAGAATGTGATTGGACGTCAGTGCACGGCCTGTCGCACAGGCTACTACGGTAAGATTGTTAAGATTGATTCCATGCATTACCTAAGCATCGCTCATCTGTTTTTCAGGCTTCCCCGATTGTAAGCCCTGTGACTGCCCCAGCTCGGCCATGTGTGAGCCAAACACCGGTGAATGCATGTGCCCACCAAATGTGATTGGCGTGCTGTGTGACAAGTAAGTGCATCGATGCTATGATTGTATTTGTATTAAACTAAGGGAACTATGACATTGCAGGTGCGCGGAGAATACCTATGGCTTCCACCAGGTGATTGGCTGCGAGAGCTGCAGCTGCAACTACATGGGCATTGCGAATGGCAACCAGCAGTGCGACATGTTCAACGGCTCCTGTGAGTGCCGCGAGAACATCGTTGGACGCGCCTGCGACAGCTGTGCCAATGGCTATTACGAGTTCCCGCGCTGCAGCCAGTGCAGCTGCCATACGCCGGGCACGGAGCTGGAGGTGTGCGACAAGATCGACGGCAGCTGCTTCTGCAAGAAGAATGTGGTCGGACGCGACTGTGATCAGTGCGTGGACGGCACGTACAATCTGCAGGCGAGCAATCCCGATGGCTGCACCACCTGCTTCTGCTTTGGCAAGACCTCGCGCTGCACCAGCGCCTATCTGCGCGTCTACAACGTCAGCCTGATGAGCCAGAGAACGATCAACTCGGTCGACTTCAGCAAAAATAGCGTCGAGTTCGAGATATGGGATGTGTCCCAGGAGGAGCTTGTGCTCAACGAGACCACACTGCAGGCGGACTTCTCCTACAGGGATCCGGGCGATCAGCGCATTGCCTACTTCGGCGTCCTGGACTATCTGCTCAATCAGAACAGCCATATATCGGCATATGGTGGCGATCTGGCCTATACACTGTACTTCACATCGGGCTTTGTGGGCAAGGCCATTGTGGCGCCGGATGTGATTTTGCTCAGCAAGGATCATGTGCTTGTGCACCAGAGCTACGAGCAGCCGAGCAGCAATTTGCCCTTCAAGAATCGTTTGCAAATGGTGGAGACGAATTTCCAGACGCTGACTGGGAAGTCTGTCAACCGCGCCGACTTCATGATGGCCTTGCGTGATCTCCGAATGATCTTCATACGCGCTAACTACTGGGAGCAAACCCTGAATACGCAGCTCTCCGATGTCTATCTGACGCTGGCCGACGAGGATGCCGACGGCACGGGCGAATATCAATTCCTGGCCGTGGAGCACTGCCAGTGCCCTCCCGGCTATATGGGACACTCGTGCGAGGACTGCGCCCCGGGCTATCATCGTGTGGAGAACGGGCCATATGGCGGCTACTGCGTGCCCTGCGAGTGCAACGGCCATGCCGATACCTGCGACTGTGCCACTGGTGTCTGCAAGGACTGCCAGCACTCGACGCGTGGCGACCACTGCGAGCAGTGTCTGCCTGGATATTATGGCAATGCCACCAATGGGTCGCCGCACGACTGCATGATCTGCGCCTGTCCACTGCCCTTCGACTCGAACAACTTTGCCTCAGGATGCGAGATCTCGGAGTCGGGCGAGGAGATCCACTGCGAATGCCTGCCCGGGTACACGGGTGCACGCTGTGAGAGCTGTGCCAATGGCTTCTATGGCTCGCCCGAGACGCCGGGTGATGTGTGCAAGCCCTGCGAATGCTCCGGCAATATAAATCCGAATGAGCCAGGCTCCTGCGACACTCGCACAGGCGAATGTCTGCGTTGTCTGAACAATACCTCCGGCATGGCCTGTAACCTGTGCGCACCTGGCTTCTATGGCGATGCAGTGCAGCTGAAGAACTGCCAGAGCTGCGACTGCGACGAGCTGGGCACTCTGGAGTGTGATCCCTTCGTGGGCAAGTGCAAGTGCCACGATAATGTCATTGGCGAACGCTGCGATCGCTGCAAACCAGATCACTATGGCTTCGATTCCGGCATTGGTTGTCGCGCCTGCGACTGCGGAGCTGCATCCAACTCGACCCAGTGCAACGAACATACGGGACACTGTAAGTACTTGCCTCCATCATATCCAATATCCAGATCTCCTCTAATCTTTCTTTATCATTTCAGGCCTGTGCAAACCTGGTGTAACGGGTCGTCAGTGCGATCGCTGCACCCTGGATCACTGGAAATACGAGAAGGATGGCTGCACGCCATGCAACTGCAATCAGGGCTATTCGCGTTCCGGCACCGGCTGCAACCCGCAGACGGGTCAGTGCGTCTGCCTGCCTGGCGTGATTGGAGATCGCTGTGAGGCATGCCCGAATCGCTGGGTGCTCACTGAGGATGGCTGCATGGAGTGCAACAACTGTCATCATGCACTCCTCGATCTGACCGATAAGATGCGCTATCAGATCGACGGCGTCCTCCAGGACTTTGAAAGCGTCAGCATGGCCTTCTTTACCAGCCAAAAGCTGAACTACTATGACGATCTGGCGGATGAGCTGGCACCCAAGGTGCAGGCCCTGGACCCAACCACCGTGAACTTGTCGCCATCACAAAAGCTAATCAGCGATCTGGAGGCGGACACCAAAGTCTATGCCAAGCAGGTCAATCAAACGCTTGACAATGCCGTGGACATTCGTCTCAGATCTGGCGTTTTGCTAAGCAACGTCTCCGCCGTGCATGAGGAGGCACTGGGCACCGTGGAACAAGCCAGGGATGCCATTGACGCGGTCGAGGCTCTGTCGGAGAATCTTGAGGCAACGGAGGGCACCAAAATGGATGCCGCCCTAGAGCAGGCTCAAGACCTACTCAACCAAATCAATGCCACCACCATCGAGGTGCAGACCAATGAGCTGGTGCTGGAGAAAGCGCGCCAGCTGTACGACGAGGTGGATAATTTAGTGGATCCGATCAAGAAGCAAAACAAAAGTCTGATCGAATTGAAGAATTCAATAGGCGAATTCAGCGACAATCTGGAGGATCTATTAAATTGGAGCGAGCAGTCGCAGAGTCAGTCTGCCGACGTGGAGCGCCTGAATGTACTGAACAAGCAGGCGTATGACAATTCCAAGTTCGACACGGTCTCCGAGCAGGAGCGAGAGGCAGAGAAGAATATCAATGAAGCGGAGAACTATCTGAAAAATGGGGACTTCACGCTCACACACATTGACAAGAAACTGGACGATCTGCGCACAGCACTGAAGCAGCTGAAGGCGGTCAATATGGACGTGGATAACTATCTGCCGGAACGCGATTCCCAGTACATTGAGGCCGACGAACTGACACAGCAGGCCGAGGAGCGGGCAGCCGACTTGACTTTGAGAGCCAAGGACCTGGCCGCCCAATACTTCGATATGACCTCCAGCTCGGAGCCGGCCATGCAGGCGGCTACCGCTTATTCAAATATTGTGGAGGCTGTGCAGTCGGCTGAGGCATTGGCACAGGATGCCAAAAACGCCGCAAGCGATGCCACTCAGAAGACCGATGGCATTGAGGAGCGTGCCGGAGAAGCAGATATCAAGTCGATGGAGCTGTTGCAGAAGGCGCGTCAAGCATTGCTTAAGGTGCAGGATGATCTGGAGCCGCGTCTCAATGCCTCGGCTGGCAAGGTGCAGCAAATCTCGCAGTTGAATGACGCCACCAATGACCAGCTGAAGGAGATCAATATACTGATCGAGAAATTGCCAGCTGAAACGCAACGGGATCTGTGGAAGAGCTCGAATAGCAATGCCAGCGATGCTCTGGAAATCTTGGAGAACGTGCTGAAAATTCTGGAGCCGGTTAGTGCCCAAACACCCAAAGAGCTGGAAAAGGCACAGAACATTAGTCGCGATGTAGACATAACCAACAAGGACATCTCGCAGGCGAACAATCAATTGGACAACGTAGAGAAGCACCTACCCAAGCTGGGCGAGCTTGTCGACGAGATCGGCGCCGAGCAGCAGCAGGTGACTGAACGCAGCCAGAAGCTCGGCAAGGACATTGAGCAGCTGAAGCGTCAAATCGAAACCGCCAGACGCATCGCCAACAACATTAAGGTGGGCGTACACTTTACGAACAACACCGTGCTGGAGCTGAAGACACCCGAGAAGGTACCACTGCTAGCCACCAAGACCAACCTGTCGATGGCATTCAGAACTAATGAACCGAATGGCTTCCTCCTGTATTTGGGCAACGACAACAAGACCAGCCATAAGAACAATGACTTTGTGGCCCTGGAGATCCTCAATGGGTATCCGATCATGACCATTGACCTGGGCAACGGACCGGAGCGAATCACCAGCGATAAGTACGTGGCCGATGGCAATTGGTATCTGGCCATATTCGATCGTGTGGGCTCTAATGCCAAGCTCACCATACGGGAGCAGCTGAAGAATAAAGACATCAAGGATCACACCAAATCCGCCTTTTTGGTTGGCTCCAACAATGTGCTGCATGTGGATCGGAACAGTCGACTATTTGTCGGCGGCTATCCCGGTCCCTCCGACTTCATTGCACCCGATGACATCAACTTCAGCTCCTTCAATGGCGACATCGAGGATCTGCGCATAGGCGATGAGAACGTCGGCCTCTGGAACTTTGTCTATGGCGAGGAGAATAAGCAGGGCGCCAAGGAACGTGACGTGCTGCTCGAAGAACAAATGCCGGTCACGGGTCTGCGCTTCAAGGGCAACGGATTTGTCCAGCTGAAGGCGTCACAGTTCAACTTCAAGATCCGCTCGAGCATTCAGTTCCGTTTCAAGGCCGCCAAGGATTCCGGCAACGGTCTTCTGTTCTTCTATGGCCGTGGCTCGCACTACATGTCCATCGAGCTGGTCAATGGGGCAATCTTCTTCCGCTTCAAGCTGGGCGACAGCTTGGTATCCTCGGGCAGCCAGCAGCACTACAATGACAACCAATGGCATCGCGTGGTGGCCGAGCGAGAGGGTCGCCATGGACTGCTCAAGGTGGACGATGTGCTGATATTCCACGAGCAGGCGCCCGCCGGCGGCAAGGAAGATATGCCCAATCTGAAGCGCATGTACTTCGGCGGCTATCCGGGTCCTCGCAACTTTTCGGAAATTGTCGAACAGAACTTCGACGGTTGCATCGATGACGTCAGCATTGCTGGCCAGAAAGTGGATCTGACACAGTATATAAATGGCACAGGCGTGGCCGAGGGCTGCCCCGACAAGTTCTCCACGACGCTATCGTATCCACCCTATGAGTATGGCTTCCTGCGCATCGGAAACATCTCGTCCAACAACAATTTCGATGTGGTGCTGCGCTTCAAGACCCGACAGCCCGATGGCGTGCTCTTCTATGCCGCCAACTACGATCAGAGCTCCACCATTGCCCTCACCCTGGATCGCGGCTATCTCACGCTGCGCAGCATGGGCAGCGAGGTGGTCATCAACAGCCAGCAGTATGACGATGGCGAGGATCACTCGGTGACCGTACACCACGATGCCGATCAGCTTCGACTCTCCGTGGATGACACCCGAGATGAACGGTAAGCGAATATTTGTTTATATATGTAGATAATCGTAGAGCTAAGCTTCATTTACGAATTAATCTTTGACAGACTGGGCTTGCCCGCACCTCTGGAGATAAGTGGCGGCGATATATTCTTTGGTGGACTGCCAGATAATTATGTACCGCCCAAGGGTGTCATATCCACGTTGGCCTACTTCGTGGGCTGCATCAGTGACGTCACCGTCAACGGGGAGATTATCAACTTTGCGGACAGCGTGGAGAAGAAGAATGGCAACATCAATGGCTGTCCAGAGCATATACTAGGTAAGCGAGTCAGGTGACTTCCCTTGCCCCACTTTGTTCTCATCTCTCGGTAAATCTTTCTTTTTCAGCGTACGAGCCAAGCTTGTTGCCCACCTACTATCCAAGTGGCACCAATGAACTGGAGCCGCCGTCAGAGCCTAGAAAACCACATAAGCCTGATAATGTGGACATGTTTATGATTCCGCCAACTGAAAGTTCCACAACAACAACAACAACGTCGACTACGACAAGCACAACCACCACAACAACTACAACAACAACGACCACCACACCGTTGCCCATAGTGGAGCCACTCCCACCATTGGGTCCGCCCACCACTGCTAAGCCAATTGGCAAACTGCGTCCGCCACCCATCCTCAACCAGCCCAGCGATCCCAGCTGCAAACTGCCCGTCAATCCCAATTATGATGTAGACTTCGTGCAAGCGGGCTATCGGTTCTACTCGCTCAAGGATCAGCGTCTGGAATTCCAAACACTACCCGTCAAGCTGCGCAAGCATTACGATATCAGCTTGTCCATACGAACCAGCTATCCCAATGGCCTGCTCTTCTATGCAGCTGGCCAGGAGACGGATGACTTCATAGCGGTCTACATGTCGGATGGCCGTGTGTACCACCAGGTGAGCGTTGGCGCCACCGTCTCAGCGAAGATCTCCAGCGAGGAGGATCTGTTGGATGGCAATTGGCATACAGTAGAGTTTGTGCGAACCAATCGCAAGATTAGCCTCAGCATAGATGGCGTGGAGCAGGCGGGCTCGGTGGAGCTGAACAATGAACGCGCCACCACACCGCCAATCCTGTCGGTGACATTCCCCGTCTATGTGGGCGGCATTACCAAATACCTGGAATCGAATCTCAAACTTCAAACTGGCTTTGGAGGCAACAGCACATCATATTACAACGGCTGCATCCGGGACATCAAGTTCAATGGCCTGGGCCTGGAGACGGAGCCGATTGTGCACCAGGTGGTGCCTTGCTCCGAGGAAGTGGAGCTCGGATACTACTTCCATCAGCCCACTGGCTATGTGAAGCTCTTTGAGCGCTTCATTGTGGGCACCGATGTCAGCATCAACTTTGACTTCCGACCACGAGATCCGAATGGCTTGCTGTTCTCAGTGCATGGCAAGAATTCGTACATGATCCTGGAGCTGGTCAACAATTCGCTCTTCTTCACCGTGAAGTCCGATGCCAAGAACACAATTGTCACCAACTACACGCTGCCGGACGGTGCCAGCTTCTGTGACGGCAAATGGCGCAACGTGCAGGCCATCAAATCCAAATTTGTGATCACCATTGCCGTGGACTATATCAGCTCCAAGCCGGGCGTGGGCAGTGACGGCTCGGCTTTCACTAAGACGAATCGTCCATTGTTCATGGGCGGTCATCATGCGTTCGCTAAGGCGCCGGGCATCAAGACCCGAAAGACCTACAACGGTTGCATCAAGAACGTCCAAGTCAACAAGAAGGATGTGACCATAACGCCCAATCTGGTCTTTGGCGACATCTGGCAAGGTGTTTGCCCACAGAACTAAGCCCCCGTACAACGACACTCGACTTGATCAAGGATACCCGATATGATTTACTAATGGATGTCAAGTTAGCCAACATGGAGAGATGACAACCTCTGGAATTCTGAAATGGACTACGAACGAACAAACCAAACGAACAAGATCGACGAGCTGCCAAATAATCTGGAAGTTCCACGAGTCACGGACTTACAGTATAGCCGAACGTCGTACATATTAGTTTATATAAGTAAAATCTTGTGCCAATCCGTAATATCCATATATTGTTTAATATTTTCGTCATTCTGATAATTTTGTAATTTGCCTTCAATAAATAAACATTTTTTTATCAATTCAATATTAATTTTCATAGAATTTCATTCCATATATGTGAAGAAAAACTCATTTGGGTTTACGATTATGTTATACATACATATTTATTCAAGTTTTCCGATTAGTTCTTAGACAAGTCTCACTAGGTAGAGATTTGGATACACAAGCTGCAGCATAGCGACTCCATATGGAATCCGGGGTATTCTACTGTCCCGCACGCTACGTAGGCCTTTTAATAGTATTACATATTTCATTATTGTGTAAAGGACTTGTTTATAGATTCTAATACAATAATTATTTCGGTATACATATATACATGCAGTGTACATATGTGTTTTCAGTAAAATTGTGTTGTATTCATAGAAAGTGTGAAGTTTACAGCAAGGAAATAATTTGCACACAAATAAATATCGATATATATATATATATTGTAAATATTGGTTGGGTTACATATGTCATATATTGAGTGTGCTGATTTTTCTTTCTTTTTTTTTTCATCTTTATTAACATAATAATAAAAAATCAATTAAATTTCCCTATGTATTCTGCTTTCATTATTTTTGCCTAAGTTTTGAACAAACTATAGAACTTAATGAGAAACTCAGTTTTGTATGAACTAAAAATATCTACATATATATTTTATGCCTACTCTATTGTGTGTATGTGTGTTTGTGTTCGTGTTTAGTTGTTGCTTTTCAATTAATTTAAACTTTTTATATTAAATTATTTTCCTTTTTTTTTATTCTTTACTGCTTAATCGCTAATCACTAAGATCACCCGAGATAGAGAGATACAAACGCACGCGAACGCGACCGAAATTCCGCGATGAATTCGGTTTAAGGTACAACGAAATCACGATTTTTTCATTTAGTTTTAGTTTTGCTTTTGCTTTTTTCAGTTATCAGTTATTTGTTTGATTTACATTCTTATTGGGGACCCGGGGGCGGAAGTCCCGTATTGTTAGTTTTATATATTTTGTAGTTTTTAACGCGACGCGAACGAACGACCCGAATTTACATTATTATCACACGTTCCCCCTGACATTTGACGCTTTGTTTCTTTCAAAAGGAAATAAAACCACAGAACAGCGCCTAACGCTGATCTGCTATTAATTAATACCTATTACTTAGATTTACTTTTCTTTTTGAGTTGATTTGAGTTGTTTTAGTTTCTTTTTCCTCTTTTTTTTTTAATTTTCTTTTTTGTTTTGTTTTTGGTTTTAGTTTTTTGATCCGCGACGATTTCAAAGACTTTTGTTTTCCGTTAAGTAGTACACTTTATACCTAATCGTTAAAAATTTGTTCTGTACATACATTATAAATTATAAGGTAACGCGCACCAGGGGTAGCGCCGAAACAAGTCTATGCAAATTATAACGAAATTCTAAGAAAACAACAACAAAATATTTAAATATGCTCCTATACAAAAAAATTATATAATACTTTAAAAATTGAATCAGTCAATTAGTTGCTTAGTTTTGTTTTTAGTTTGTATGTTTCGTTTTTCTTTTGTTTTGCATTTGTTATTCGTTTTTCTTTTCACATTTGCTAAGGATCGCACAAAATAAATATCATCTCGAACGGAATATCTAATCTCATATTTTTAATTAAAAAAAAAAAACAACAAAAATCACCTAAACTGCATAGCATATAAATATCAAGTCGTATACATTATAAGTAAATTTGTATCAGTAACAGTTGCACTCTTATTATTTATTAGTTTTTCGTTTCTTTTTATTTATTTTATATCCCGACGACGATTTACGATACGATACGATTTACGAGCGAGCGAACGAACGAACGAGCGACGATAATACGCGAACGCGAAACCGTTAGAACCCGAAACCCGATAACCGATACCCGAGACGCGACGATTTGATATTATTTTATAATAATTTTTTATTTTATTTACAATTAAAGTGTTGGGTCCAGCTGTGAAATTCATTCGGCTGAAGATGAATGCATGTCTATGGTATTGAACGGAGTCTATTTACTTTAATTTTTTGTATTATTATTACATCAGTCTTTGTTGATATTAAATATGTATTTAATCTTTTGCTGAAATTTTTGATTTCTCTCTTTTATAATTTATTCTCAATTTCACAATTAACCCAACGCCTTTTCTAGTTTGTTATCCATTTACGATAGTTGCTTTGATTTTAGTTATCCAGTTATTCGATTATATTATTATTATAGTAAACGCGAGACGAACGGCAATATCAATTTGTAGCTTACGTTGAAATTAAAATTATCAATAATTAGCGATAAGTAAACACAGTATATAAGCATATTCAACTGGTTATTGCTGTTGAAGAGGTTGATTGAAAATGTGTGTTTTCTGTGTTATCTAGTATTATCTATATCTATAGCACTGGTTCCTAATCGCTGGAACTCAAATGTATCTAAATGTAATTGCATTTTAGTTGAATATTATGATGGAATTCGAACTTGAAGCAGACAGACAAATTATATATCCAGATACAACGGAATTCTAGAATGGTGTCATCTAATTCTTGCATTACCTATAAAGCAATATATATTGTAGTATATAGTATGTATATACGTTTCGAATAAATGTGTATATATATCTATATATGTTATATGTAGTTAAATATGCGTAGGTTGTATATGTTTTGTATTAGAGTTGTAGTTTTCTTTTCTTTTCGGATTCTGTTGTAGACTTTATAAGTTGAAATTCCAAATATTAAATGTAATTGAATTATTCGAACTGCATCGAATAACCTTAATTAAACATTTGCCTGCTAACTGCGCTTACACTAACTTTAAAGACGATGACACTCTTACTCGCATACATAAACATAATTGTCTAGTTAATAAGTTGCTTATGGGTGTGGATTGTGTTTGTGTCCTTTCTTTATCTTTTTTTTTTTTTTTTTTTGTTGTTGTTGTTTTGGTTGCCAAGACGTCTTAAATGTTGTACATTGTTACCAAACGCTCGGCCAGATTTGGCGGGAATTGCTCAACAAACCGACGCCAATTATCTTCACCTACTTGTGTCTTGAACCCATGTAGTATCTATTGAATAAAGAAAAGGAGTTAGAAAACCATTTCCAATAAGCAGTCATCGCATACTTTTTGTATCATCTGATGCAGATCCTGTGGCGGATTAACCCATGAGGCAATTGCATCGCAGAAGAATATAAAGTCGGGCACAACGCCAGCTGGATTCACGGTTATCATGTGGCACATGCCACGGAAGGCCGAGTCCTTTTCGTCATTATCTCGTATGTGACGCAACGATGTGCACCTGTTTAGGTTATAGGATGTATATTGTAATATTAGAATATCACACCAATTAGCTGAGCATGCCACAGGCAAACACTCATAGCAAAATGTTAAGGAATAAAAAAAATAAATATGGAAGGAACAGCACAAAAGAAATTTATATATATATATATTACAGAAGATCAGAAAAATGTACAGAAACTTGTATATTCTGTTGCGTGTTCTGAATTTTTTTTAAAAGCACAATTTAAAAATGTAGTTAGGAAAAGTAAATGCAATAAGTATAAGATATATAATGATAATGGTAAGGATAAGAAACTATATTTGATAAATGTGTTACACACCACTGTCGTACAAATTCGGGCAAATAAGGAGCCACTTCAACTGGGCACACATAACCTAGACGACCGATTGTTATTGCTAAAAGAACAGAAAAATATAAATAAATCAACTGAATAAATTATATTACATTTATTGTTTGATTGCGCATGTTCTTAATTGATTGATTCGAGACGCGCTTCAATTAATTACATACAGCAATAAGTTTGAAACATTCACATTGACAAATCGACAATACAATGAAGTATGTGTTATGCATGTTTTTCATATTGTTATTATTATGATTTCTATTTTCCTGGATTTTTGCAGCTGACGACAATGCGTCACATGCAACGGTAAATGATATCAGAAACAAATGTTCAGTCAGCACACATACTTATGTTCAGACACATACATATACATACAAATATTTGCATACTGCTGATGTATATGCATATATATATACACATATGATTTGTATGTGTATATATGTATAAACATATCATTCACAGAATGCATTTCTGAACATTCACTCACCTGTATTCTCCAGCAGCGTTTTGGGCGTATTCGGGCGATTGATGATGACGAAGAGATCGGTCAGTACAAGATGTATGTACTGTTTGGTTTCCTCACCTAGATAAGAGAAACCATTCGTGTATATATATAATACAAATCTCTTTAAAGTTTACTTACCCAACTTCATGCATATTTCGCCAATAGCCCATGTTGCATTGTTGCATACCGAAATAAAATCAGGATTTAGATTTTGACCCAATATGGGGAAGAACTCGCCCATAAACGGATGCACATGTGGGAAACAGGCCTTGGTCAAATCACCGAGCAGTGCAAATGAAGATTGACGCACCTGCACAAAAATCAACAACAAAAATTCAGAAATGCATACAAGCTAACCTAACCGAAGTAAACGAACCTCCGGCAGAACGTCCTGCATGCATTGATAGAGCAAATGCATTATGTTACTATTGGACACCAGCGTCTCAATGTGCCGATCCAAGCCCTCTGCCAGGCCGGAGAGTAAGTCCAGCGCAACAATCATGCGCTCCTTGTCGGGATGATCGAATGTGTGATTTTGTTTGCAAAGCTGTGAAGAAAAGAATTCATATGTATCCATGTTCAAATATGCCATTGTGATCATCACCTACCATTTCTTGATTAATTGTCTGCTCAATTAACGATATGCATCTCCTATAGACGGGGTCGCAATATGGCAGAAAGCCCGATTGCAACGCAGTTGCAATGCTGGACAGGCATTCGAGCAATGGGAATAGATCTTTGTCGTCGTCCTTAAGCAGATTCCATTTGTCAATTAGTGGCGGCATTAATATATCAATATACTGTGGCTTGTTCAAATGATGACCAACTGAGTCAGCCAACGTGCCCACGGCATCGTACAAGATCAATAGATTCTTATGCTGATACTTGGAGAAGGCGAAAACAAGGGTTTTTAGTATATATTCTAAATAGGGCACCAGTTCAGTGCACGCCTCCTCTTCGAGCGTGGCAAACGCCGAGCACGCAGCCTCCTGCACTCGCTTATTTGAATCCAGTATGCGTTTGAGCAGCTCCTCCATTAGTGGCTTTAGGTATTGGTCATGTGGCTGATTGACCACCCAGTTGGCATAGCGGGACAGAGTCCAACAGGTAATAGAGCGCACTAGCGCCTTCTTGTCGGACAAGCAGCTAATCAGATATGGTATTAATTCGGGTAAATGTTGGATCATGCCTTGCATGCAACCCTCGGCTATGGCGCCCAGAGCAAGCACACCGCTCTCCTTAACGACCCACTCCTGATGAAAAAGCGTGTCCTTCAGTATGGGCAGCACAATGGGCAGACAGTCCTCGCGAAATACATTCGCCAGGACATCCAGAGCGGCCGCACTGCACTTGCGCAAATTCCATTCAGATAGCGAACTATCATCGTCTAAGCCATCATCAAATTCATCATCATCATCCTCGCCGCCTGATGCCTGACTGACCTCGCCGCTTTTGATGGTGTGTGTGCGTGATTTGTGGAATCGAGGACGTATATCCTCTTCGCGATCCGGTTCCATATCATCCTCCTCTACGTTGCCCTTAAGCAATATAATATCTATCTCCGAGTATCGCATGCCACGCACCAAAACAGGCGCAAGCTGCGGCAAATACGGTGCCAACACATCCTTGCAAATACTTTGTTCCGCCAGCGACAACCAAAACTCTGACGCTTCAAGGGCCACGCCCTCATCAGAGTCCTGTGTACGCAGTAGCATGTACTAAGCGAACATAATAAAGAAAAAAACAATAGTGTAACGAAACACTCTCACTCTCTGTTAGCTATATCACAATTCTAGTTACATACCTCAATGATCTGCGACATGTGTGGCATCAACCTGTCCATTCGCACTTCCAGCAACATGACTAGACCATGACAGACATTCTTTCGCACCTCATGATCCTCATCCGAAGACAGATTAAACAGATTCTCGATAAACGCATCGATGTGCAGCATCAGCGCCTGTGACCGGTTGATAATGAATTGATTGATGCAGGCAATTGCATGGGACCGTATCTTGGGGCTGTTATGTTTAAAGTATTGCAAGAATTTGGGTATCATAACGTTAAGTGGCCTATTTAGCACAGCGGAGTCTAAGATTTCAGCCGAATCCTCGCAGATCTTTTGCAGAGCACTGAATGCACCCTCGCACACATTATAGTCCTGGCTATCGAGCATGTCGCACAGCGTCGGCAACAGCTGTGGCCAGTTCTGCAAGCCTCCATTGCTGGCTATAGTTGTGATCAGAATTCCAACGGTAGCCCGTATCAGGGGTGAGGCATCGCCCACAGCTTGCAGGCATTCGTGTTTGATGTACTCAACAATCTCTGGCTGCAAGTTGCTGCCGTGCATGCGAATGTTGTTCTTTAGTATTAAGCCACTTAGCGACCGTGTGGGTTCATCTTCCGTATTTAGTTTCGTCAGCACATATATCAAATAGTTGTTGAAGTCCGGATATCGGTTGAAGTCCTCCAGTTTCTAATGAAAACATACTCAGTTACTCGAACCTTTATTTATTTATTTGCTTATATATATATAAATATATTATATATATATACATATATAGATTGCTTACGATTTGGACTGCCATTTGAGTCGCTGTGTCTGGGGACTGAGATTCTTTTAAGATCGCAATGATCTGCTGAAGACCTTCTGGTTGCGGTTCCCACGTCATTTTGATGCCGTTAATGTGCGATGCTGCTGCGACGTGCAAAATAATTAGATATACCGTCTAAATCAACCCCACCCATTCTAAGCGAGTTGAACGCCCTCTTAAAGGGTAGTACGAGGAACTTTGTCCGAGGCCATCTCTCTATATACACACACACACCCACAAACGCATATATACACACACACGCACACTCAGGTACTCACTCTTGCACGCACACATACTCAGTTATACAGACAGCGTGAAAAAACACACATAATGTAATAACTACTTAAGGCTTGTTAGCTGCCGCCATGTTCTTTGTAGTCGTTAAGCACTGACAAGATGTGGCTTTCGCTTAACGCTAATTGACCAGATAGAACTTACCTTCAATAGTGTTAGGTGTGAATTAAAACTAATTTAGCTGGATACACTTGATAAGCCCCTTAATTTTCTCTTTTTCACTTTTCTGCCAGATGAAATTTTTTTTTATGATGATTAAGTGTGACCAACTTAGTGACGAAGAGCATTTAGGGTTACATTCGCATCTATACCGATAAGAAGTACTGTAAAACAGCGCCTATCTATTGTGGATGAAATGTTAAAGTAACGATGACAACTTTAATAGATAGTTTATAAATTTGAAGCGTAGTTCTCAAAGTTTGCCTTGGCTATCCTAATATTTTATGTACATATTCACAAAAGAAATATTTACACTCAATACAATAAATGGCAACATTTCTAACGAAAATACTAGAATTCACGCTGTTAATAACATGATAGTTGCTATGTTAATAACACTTCCATGCGATGTTAACTAACACGATGTAAATGCTTAACATAATTTAATCACTATTTGTTTGGGTTTGAGGTAGTGATGTAAATTTGAGTAAAAACATCGATGTCGATGCCCATAGATGTTTTCGTTGTCAAGCATCGATGTTTGGTTTATACATCGGGTCAAAACTTCGATGCATCGATGTATTTTCCCATTCTATTAAGAAACGTTTTTTTCGGGTTTTAAAGCTTCTTCATAGGTGCTTTCATAGCGTTATTATTTCACTTAAATTATTTTTAACTTAAAAATGAAAAACTTATAGCAATCTTTTCATATTCATGAGACTTATCTTATCTTAAAAATTATTAAACAACAAAAAAAAAAAAAAAAAAAATAATACGTATGCTTTCATAGCAGTTAATTAAAAATTATTAAACAAACAAAAAAAAAAAAAAAAACGTATGCTTTCATAGCAGTTTTTTTATCTTTCAATGTTACTTATAAACTACATATTAAAAAGAAACAATTAAAAAAAATATTTTTTGTCAATGCTTTGCAGTAACAAAATACGACTTAGTCGCTCAGGTGTCATTCTGTTTCTTTTACGGCACAAAATATTTGAAGCCGCTGAGAAAACCCGTTCAGAGGGAACGGATGATCCCATCACCGGCAAAAATTGCATAGCAATTTTGTACAAATTCGGATATGTACATTTCATGCTTTCCCAAACAGTTATTGGATTACTTTCGAAGGAAGTAAGCGGTATTCGTAGATAAGAGCTTATTTCTACGTCCATATCCACATTCGGGTTGTGACACTGCGCGAGCTGGTGATGGTGGTTCCAAAAAGAATCCGAGTTCCCTGTTGTCGGTGGTATGACCTCTTTGCTTTCATTTTCTTTAAACATAGATTTAATTTTCATCAGTGCATTGGCACATGCAACTGGATCTTTAAAATGTAATTTTTTAAATCTAGTATCAAGCAACGTGGCCATTGCTAGAATCGATACCTAAAACAGTACATTACAAATATATATTTAACGAAACTACCAATTAAGAGTATTTGAAATATACCTGCTCAATCGATCCCATTCGCCTTTCTATTTCGAGAAGCAGGAACTCCTTCATATCCTTCGCTTCTTGTGTGTTGTCACTTAATTTTTCTAATTTGTCTTTGATGATGCTGACAATGGGTATGACCGTACTGGCCGTACAATATTTGTCTCCGCTGACAATTTTCGTTGCTTCCTCAAGGGGGCGTAGCATTGTAAGCACATTGTTTAACAGCTCAAATTCCTTTCCGGTAAGCAACATTTGGTCATTTGGAATACTCAGTAAAATGTCGTTCACTTGCGTTTTGACCTCCAAAAAGCGCTCTATCATATAATATGTACTGTTCCATCTCGTTGGAACATCCTGAATAAGTACTTTATCTGTTGCTTTCCTTAAATGGTCGCTGGCCACACCACTATGGTTAAAAAAGCAACGATTGATTTAGTTTTGGCAATACATCCATTTACGGATTCCCTTTGGATGGCCGAGCGAGCAATAAGATTAATCGTGTGCGCAAAGCAGGGCAGGTGAATTTTGGGCCCAAACGTTATCTCAGCAGCTTTTTTAATATTTGTACCATTGTCTGTGACAATAGCTGTTACTTGCTTTTTGTCAATGTTCCAATCTGAGCAACAGATTTCCAGCATTTCGCTCAGATATGGTCCTGTGTGACGCTCGCTTAACTGCATAGCTCCAATTGTCAATGAAGACATTTCCTGCTCCAAGAGAAAATGAGCAGTGATCCCTAAATAGCTGCGCATTGACATTTGGTCACTCCATATGTCCATTGTTAAGGATATGCTCTTTCCAGTCAGCCTTGTTCTCCACAGATCTTTCATTTGACTGTACTTCTCATCGAGCCATTTGGTTACTTTATAACGCGAAGGAATTTCATAACGAGGTGCGACAGTATTCATCAAATAAATGAATCCAGCATTTTCAACAATTGAAAACGGCTGAATGTCCTTTGCGATCATGTAAACAATTGCATCATTTATTTTTTTTTGTTTTTTGTCCTTCTCCTCCAAAATCCGTGATATTTTGGAAGCTTGCAGCTATTGAAGCTTGTCGTGGCGTCCCACTGTTAGACACAGGTGTCTGGTCTTCTTCCCTTATTTTATGCACATTGCGTAGATGATCTTTCATATTCGTAGTGTTCCCTGCAGTTTTGATTGTTTTGCCGCAAATATTACATTTCGCACTATTGCCATCAATTTTGGCGAAATGCTTCCAGCAAAAACTCGTCTTTGTTGTTATTCTAAAACAATTGATTTTGTCGTATAAATATATGTACATATGTACATACATAAATAAATACATATAAGTAATGTTACTATATTTACTTACTTCGGCATTGCAATATTTGCTGCTTAAGTTTGTATAACTGCACTTTCAGGCAACACACGACAATATACGCAAAATATGTATAAAATCAAACCAGCGACGTTTTGGAAAACATCGATGCATCGCTTAAAAACATCGGTGCATCGCTTAACATCGGTATCAATAAAAACATCGGAAAACATCGGTAAACATCGCCAAAAAAACATCGATTGTCGATGCATCGATGTTTTTTCACATCACTAGTTTGAGGCCAGACAGACGGGCCAATAAATTTTAAACAAAGGACCACGTTTCAGGACATTCATCCCGAGGTCAACAAGCAGCAGACTCAAGCCAGACGGTTAAGTGAAAGTTTTTCTGCTGCCAGTCGCATTTCAAGAGCAGCAGCGACCAGACATGAATAAGCGCAACAACGTGAGTGAATTGCAGACACAAAGCAATAATTGAGATACAATATAAAAATTAACAATTATTACAGATACGGCTGCCGCCGGAGGTGAATCGGCTGCTGTATGTGCGTAATTTGCCATACAAAATCACATCAGACGAAATGTACGATATATTTGGCAAATTTGGTGCAATTCGTCAGATACGCGTGTAAGCAAATTGACTGCAAATTAATTGAACTAATTAATTAATTACAATTGCATCTGTACATTCACAGTGGCAATACGCCGGAGACACGCGGCACTGCGTTCGTTGTCTACGAAGACATTTTCGATGCCAAAAATGCATGCGACCATCTGTCCGGCTTCAATGTGTGCAACCGCTACCTCGTCGTACTCTACTACCAGTCCAACAAGGCCTTCAAGCGTGTGGACGTGGACAAGAAACAAGAGGAGCTTAACAATATCAAGTCCAAGTACAACTTGAAGACGCCGGAGGCATCCTAAGATCATAAGAATGCTATGCAGTGCGACCATAAATGGTTCATAAATGGTTCATTGAACTCTTTCCAATTTTATACAATTTTACCAATGCTCAAAAACTGCTTTAGAACCAAAATTTGCTAAACTATTTGTCCGAAGTTTTTAAAAGTTTTTCTATCATTTTTATATCAAACATAAAACATCATCATCATCATTCATCATCACGTATCATGCCGGCTTTTGAGAGCTTGGAGAAAAGTATTCAACTCTCGGAGCTCGCATCAGTCGGAAAATCCACAAAACACATTTAAAACCACATCTCATAAAAATAACAAGCAAGAAAAAGTAAAGACAAAAAAAATTGAAAAACTGAGATGAATTGTAGTTTTCATTTAAATTTATTTTGCACTTAACTAGCAGTTAAATATTAACCAACAATAACATCTTCCATGTCAAATGGAATGTGGAAGCACAGCTTCTCAGCTGGGCAGATCTATTTCGTCTGTGGCTCGAGTATTCTCAGCAGCAGCAGCAGCGGCAGCCGCCGCTTTATACTGTTCGTAGGTGTTTTGTTGCTTCTCCAGCTCCCGCTGCTTGGCCAACTCCTGCAGCTCTTCTTTGGCTGCCTCGGCGATCTTCTGACGCAGCGCCTCAACCTTACGCCGCTTCTCGCACCTTTGCAGCTCCTTTTGCCGAAACTTTTCTGTAATTTGCTTTGGACTCTTAGCCGGCTTCAGTGGCTTCTTTTCGTGCACCTTTTGATGGCGGATCAGAGCAGCCTCCTGCCGAAAATGGGTGCCACAGGTTGGGCAGGCATACGGCTTTTCGCCTGTGTGTATCCACTCGTGCTGCTTGAGAGACTGCGAGTTGGCGAAGCGCCGTGCGCAGAAGCGGCACTCAAAGTCCTTCACCTTCTCATGGACGCTCTTATAATGCCGCTTCATATTGCCCAAATTGTTGAAGCCCTGATTGCAGCCCGGGCAGAAGTGCATGCCCTCCTTCTGCACAAAGTTGATACGCGTTGGCGTATTGGAGGGAACTACGACAGCGGGAATGGGATTCACTACAGTGCCCGCCAGCTGCGAAATGTCCACGCGCTCGACACGCCTCGGATCTCGCGGAATGGTAGCCACAGATTCGGCGCAGACCTTCAAGAGCTGATCAGCTGCATTGGCATCATCTTTGCCCTGAGATTCGGTGCATCTCTGTTCAGCTGTGGGACTGGTGAGCTCCACCTGACGCTGACGATACGTTTCGATGGCACGTTCTACACTCTTCTCATGGATCTTCAGGTGCTTGGTCAAGCTCTCGGTGTACAAGAATTTCTTGCCACACACTTTGCACTCGCAACGCTTCTCGCCCGTGTGGGTCATCTCGTGGATTTTGCATGCATGCGATTTGCCAAAGGTCTTGCCACAATACTGGCAAGCATAATTCCTGATCTTCTCGTGTACAATCTTCACATGGTTGTCCAGCGCCCGCTTTGTGTGTGTCGCATGGTCGCAGATCTGGCACTTGAACATCTTCTCTTGTGTATGGGTGAGAATATGTTTGCTCCACTCTTGCCGAGTAGTTTTGCCCACACCACAGTAGGGACACACATAGTTCTTGATGCCGGCGTGTCGCAGCAGATGATTCTTCAAAGCGCTGTTGATGTGGAAGCCCTTACCGCAAATATTGCAGGGATAGGGCAGCTGCTGGCCGGTATGTTTATACATATGCTTCTTAAGGGCCACCGGGCAACGAAATTTCATACCGCACTCCCTGCACAGCTGCTCCGCCCGTGGCACATTCGCCCGCGACATATTGTGCACCTTCTTGAGATGAATTGTCAGCAGTCGCATGCGCGGAAACACTAGCTTACAGCCCTCCACGGTGCAAGGGATCTCAGCGGCACTCTTTGTATGAGCATAGTCCACGTGCAGACGCAATGCTGCAGCTGTGGTAAAGCCCTTCTGGCACTGCTCCACATGGCACTGAAAGGGCAAAAGTTCGTTGTGGTGTTTCATATGCTCATCATAGTTGACTTGCTTCTTGAATTTCTGCTGGCAGACGTGGCAGGTGATGATGCGGCGAAGATGCCGTTCCTTAGCAGGAATACGCCTTCGTTTTGCTTTGTAATTGGTCATTTTTTCACTGGTTGCTTCACTGTCTGCTTCGCCGTTCTGATCGAGCAGGCGATGTGCCAAAGGTACATCATCCTCGCTGAGGCTGCACTCGGATGAACAGTCACTTAAAATATGTTTTAGGTCAGTTGCATCTTCGGCATCCTTGTCGACGTTCTCTAGCATTTTAAATACATCCTCTTCATTGTTGATCAACTCCAGTTTGTGGCTTAACGGATCATATTCATTGTTTGCCTGCTCATCCTTGGCCAACAGTTCATCCTCGTTGCTGCCCACCGGCAGCGGCTCGAATATATCAATCGGATTCGCAATCACAATAAGTTTGCTGGCTACCATTTCCTTAAAGCGCTGCACCGAGGACACACAGAGCTTCTGAAAATCATGGAGGTCGTTTACTCTGGTATAGCAGCTGGAGCATAGATTCCTTGGATAACCGTCTTGGGGATCCAACAGCAGGGACGTGCATACTGTGAAAGTCTTGGCAAGATCTGGCAATAAGAATAGGTCATACCCAGTACTATCGATATATTCTAGGCAAGCTCGGCATATTGAATGAACAGAGTACGGTATGCTTGTACTCATTCCAGAAAATCACAAAATCAATGGGAATTTCCAATTTGATTTGCACAAGTATTTAAAGCGTTGTTTGCAGTGATGGTCGCATACAAAAACGAGCAACAACAACACTACACAACGTTATCGATATCCAACGTTTGTTTTCACGCTTTCGTAACATCGATAATGTCTACATATGTATATCAGTAGATGCTTGAGTAACCGATACTCGTACTCGTTCTAGTTGGCTGACGAGTATACCAATTTTTTTCGTGTCAATATTATTTTTTTTTGTTGCTGGAATCAACCGAAAAGCCAAGACTTTTGTGAACATTTAAATAAAAACCATCAATTTAATCAATCACGATGGACGTGGCGAGGACATACTCCATACACACGCTGTGTCGCATATGCCTGAATCTCCTGCAGAACGATGCTGCCTACGATTTGTATCTGGTGCCAGGCCTTGCCAAAAAGCTATGTCTGTGCACCTCGCTGTCTGTGGAGCAAAACGATGGCTTTCCGAAGAACCTGTGCACCAGTTGCTACACGCGGCTGAACGATTTGCATGAATTTCAAAAGATGTGTGTAGACTCTGTGCAAAAGTTTCAGGATATGGTCGCCAGCAACGCCTTCACTTGTCAGTCGAACTTCGATGTCCTGGATCCATGCGTGTCGGCAAATGACTTACCCGAAGACGATGAGCACATTAACTTTGATCCACTGTTGAACCATAAGATGGAACTAATTGAAAACGAAGAGGATGTATTCAAAATGCTTGAAGATGTGGACAAGGAGGCCGAGGAGGTGGAAAAGGAAGTTAAAGAGGATACAAAAGAATTCAAGGAGCCCATCCCAGAAAACATGTTTAATGAGGACTCGTCTTCCATCGAAAGCGGCAACGACAACGACCTGGATGTAGACTTTGAGCCAAACAGCAGCGACGACGACATTCCCCTTGCCCAGCGCATGCGAGGCAAAACCAAGAGCACCAGAGCAGCCAAGTCGAAGCCCAAAAAGAACGCTGCTGATGATGCCGGAGAAGACAATGATTTCACTTCCTCTTCCAGCTCAGACGAGGACTATGACGGTGATGAAGGTGATTCAAACACAAGGCAAGGCTCGAAGGAGAAGCCAAAGCGCAAGCGCATTCCTGCTTCTGAGCGGCACCTACATCGCATCATCGACTGTCACATTTGCCATCAGAAATTCAAGAAGGCAATTCGTTATGAGGAGCACATGAAGTACCACAACGATCTATTGCCATTCCAGTGCAAGGTTGAGTCCTGTAAGAAGGGCTTCACAACCGCCAACGGACTGCGCATACACGTGGACCACGCGCACACCGAGCTCTCTGAAGTGCACGCCTGCAGTGTCGAGGGCTGCGGCAAGACATTCCCACGCATTCGCCTGCTCACCTTCCACATGAAGAAGGCGCACAATATTTCCAAGTCGGCGGCTCCATTGCGCGACTTCCCCTGCACAGAGTGCAACACCGTGTTCCGTTGCCCGACGGCGCTCAAGAAGCACATGTACAAGCACACGGGCGAGGAGCTTCCGTATCCATGCAACATATGCGGCAAGCGCTTCGTGATCAACAGCGCACTCAGGGATCATTTGATGCGGCATGCGGGCATCAAGAACCACGTCTGTCCCTACTGTGGCGTGGGCAAGACCACACGCCAGGAATGGAACGCTCACATTCTCACGCACACCAAGGAGAAGAAGTTCAAGTGCCGCCAGTGCGATCACGCCTCCCACAACAAACAGGCTCTATCCAATCACGTCAAGGTGGTTCACATGAAGATCAAAAACTTTGCCTGCCAATACTGTGGCAAGACCTTTGGCAAATCCCACGCCTGCAAAGTGCATGAGCGGACGCACACGGGCGAGAAGTGCTGCGAGTGCAAGATCTGTGGCAAGATCTTCCTGTGCGAGAAGAGCCTCACGAAGCATTTGAAGACGCATGAGAAACGCGATCTGCCGCCAATGGAAACGAACCGTCCGCTCAACATTTTGTTGCCTGGCGTCCCACTGCCCGGCCATATGCAGCCCGATGGAATGATGCCAGCCAATGTGACAGACGATCTGCTGAAGGCGTGTGGCGGCGGGACCGCGACAGCAGCAGGAGCAGAAGCAGCTGCAGCTAAACCTAAAAACTCACGGCGCGTTCAGCGTGTGGACATATCGCAGTTGGCGGGAACCGCTGTCAACCCCATACCATCAGTGTCGGTACCATCGTGGTCGCCGCAAGTCAACTTCACCAAGAAAGAGGGCCAGCACATATGTCCCGGTTGTGGTCGAGGCTTCAACAATATTGGCAATATGAAACTTCATTACAAGATCATTCACGAGAAGGTGAAAGATTTCGCCTGTCGCTTCTGTCCCAAACGTTTCTCAAAGGCCCAAATCTTGCGGCATCACGAATGGATCCACACCGGCGAGAAACCGTTCGAGTGCAAGATATGCGGCAAACACTTCCGGCAGGAGACGGCACTGAAGAAGCATATTAAGACACACGACAAGCCTAACAGACGTGTATATCCGGAGAAGGAGACAACTGTGCAGACGCCTGCCTTCCATAAGATCGAGTCCCGAGAGATTGACCGCGAGCCAAGGAACTACGAGCAGTACCAGGATCCAGCCGCTGAGCGAGCTGCTGCTACAGCCGAGCTGCTTGCACATCAGATTGAGGAGAACGAGGCAAAGCGCAAGGCAGACATCGAGAGGCGAAAAATCCAAGAGGCAGCTTGTGAGCAGCTGAACAAGCTACAGAGGCAGCAGGAGATGGAGAAGGCGACCACATCCTACGACAGCTACTATGCACAAAAGGCTCAAGCCGAGGGACTCACCGTGGACGCACTCAAAATAGATCATGTGTAAATCGAGTCCAGCAAAGATGGGAGACACTTGCGAAAGCCAGCAATATTTTACATATACATACATAGCTATAATTTTTTACAGCGCCTCAGTTTATAAGTACTTCAATGATCTATACCCTCGAATTGCTCCATAATTGCTTATTGTGACATGAACACAGTAACTCAACGTATTCTACCACAATATTAATTTTACCATACATTTATAAATACTTCTGTATTTTTGTTGTCTATGTACTGCATAGCATATATTGCTTAACTAGAATAATGAAATTCATATAACATATTTAGCATGTCTTGTTTCATTTCATGTTTTTGCATATAGTACTATGTACATACAATATGCGTGTGTATAGGGTATGTTGTCTGCTTAATAACCCAATATTTATATACTCCCTTATTTATGTACTCATGCACGCATACATATGAAAGGCAGTCAATTTTAGTGATGGGCTTGGCTCAAACATGAGCACGAGTACTCGTGTTAGTACCCGATACATAATACTACCGCTAGTCCATAGTTCGTATGGAAAAAAACGAGCAGGAGAGGATTAAGAATAAATTGCATTTACAATATGGATGAGGGCAACCAAATCTCCATAGATGCAATATGTCGCATTTGTCTATCAACATTGCAAAAGATTGAAGCCCACAATCTGTTCGTGATTCCTGGTCTGGCTAAGAAGTTCTGTGTGTGCACTTCGCTCTCGGTGGAGCAACAGGATGGTTTTCCAAAATGCATTTGTACAAATTGCTACAACCGGCTAAACGATTTGCATAATTTTCAGAAACAATGCGTAGAGTCCGTTGCCAAGTTAATTGATTTGTTGGGCAATAACCATTGCACTGTCCAAGCTATGAATGTGGACAACATTGATGTAATTAATGTTGCGCTACAGGATAAGGACATTGAGGTGCCACAAGATATTGACGTACCCATCGAGGATGAAGAACGCATTAACTTTGATCCACTACTTAATACCAAAATAGAGATAATTGATAATGAGGACGAGGTTTTCAAAATGATAGAAAATGTTGACAAAGAAGCGAATGGGCAACAGCAGGAGAAGGACCTCATCAATGAAAGCGAACATAAAGATAGTGATGATGTGGATGTAGGGAATAATAGCGACTCTGACGATGCCATGCCTCTGTCGCGTTTACGCAGTACTTCTCGTGTTTTGGAAGCAAAGATTAAGAATACGAATATTGCTGCATTTGATAATAATTCATCTAGCTCTGAAGTAGATACAGATAAAGTAAGCTTATCCAAACGGAAACTAAATACCAAGCGTATTCCTGCGGCTAAGCGCGAACTTCATATCGATTGTCATATTTGCCATCAGCAATTCAAGAATGAAATTCGCTACGAGGAGCATATGAAACATCACAACGATCTGTTGCCCTTCCAATGTACTGTGGAAACATGCAAGAAAGGTTTTACAACTGCTGCAGGGCTTCGACACCATATTGATCATGCTCATCGGGAACTCTGCGAACTTCACGCCTGCACCGTAGAGGGATGCGACCAATCTTTTCCTCGAACGCGAATGCTCACACATCACCTGAAAAAGATTCACAACATATGCAAACCTGATAACCCCGTTCATCCGTGCACGGATTGTGATAAGGTCTTTCGTTGTCCAACAGCCCTAAAAAAACACATGTATAAACATACTGGCGAGGAGCTGCCCATTTCCTGTAACATCTGCAACAAACGATTCCACATAAACAGCGAACTCAGAGACCATCTACTACGACATGCCGGCGTTAAGAACCACGTTTGCCCTTACTGTGGCGTGGGTAAGACAACTCGACAGGAGTGGAACAAGCACATATTGACGCATACCAAGGAAAAACAGTTCCAGTGTCGCCAATGTGATCATGCCTCCCACAATAAACAAGCTCTAGCCAATCATGTTAAGGTAGTCCACATGAAGATCAAGAACTTTGCTTGTCAGTACTGCGGCAAGACTTTTGGCAAAATGCACGCCTGTAAGGTTCACGAAAGACTCCACACCGGCGAGAATTGCTGTGAGTGCAAGATCTGTGGCAAAATCTTTCTTTTTGAAAAGAGACTGACCAAGCATCTGCAGGTCCATGAAAAGCGTGAAGTCAAGGCATCTAATGAAAGAACCCAAGTCGATGAGGCTGATCGCAATGAACTAAATTTAAACCAGGAGTCTACAGCACCTGCAGCTGCGAAAGCCGTGGATGCATCTGCCGCTAGGCCGAAAAATTCACATCGAGTTGAGCGTGTGGATATGTCTCAATTGGCGGGTACCTCTGTCAATCCAATTACGTCTGTTTCTGTACCCTCCTGGTCGCCGCAGGTGAACTTCACTAAAAAGGAAGGCCAGCATATATGCCCAGGCTGTGGACGTGGATTCAACCACATTGGCAATATGAAACTCCACTATAAGGTTGTTCATGATAAAATCAAGGATTTCGCCTGTCGCTATTGTCCCAAGCGCTTTGGCAAAGCGCAATATCTTCGCCACCATGAATATACGCATACGGGTGAGAGGCCGTATGGCTGCAAATTGTGTGATAAGCACTTTAGCCACGGATCATCACTGCGAAAGCACATGATTTCACACAACAGACCCCCGAAAACACCAAAGCCTCCGAAGGCCACAGCTCAAAAAAGAGAACATCAGAGGCCAAAAATCGAGCTAAACAAGCGTCAACCAAAGAACTATGAGCAGTATCAGGATCCTGCAGCCGAACGGGCTGCAGCTACTGCGGAATTATTTGCTCAAAAGATTGAGGAGAGCGAAGCCAAACGAAGGGCAGAAGACAAAACACGAAAAATTCAAGAGGCTGCGTGCGAGCAGCTGCAGAAGCTGCAAAGGGAACAGCTGATCGAAAAAGTGTCTTATGACAGTTTTCAAGTAGAAAGCTCCGAGACTAGTATAAGAGTGGGTGCTCTTAAAGCACATCAGTTATAAACCGTTATGTTGTTTTAATATGAGTATCTAATATAAGTGTTTGGTATATTCTAAGCTGTTTGTGCCCATATAGTATATAGACTAAGCATAATATTATATTATATTACATATTTGTAAATTAATAAATTTTGGATGCAATATTCATTGTTTGCACAACGAATTGAACTAAATAAATCATTTTGACAAAAATATTTGTGCATTAAAAATAGAAAATGTTAGGTACGAAAAAACTCGCAATCGTACCACTAACCATACAGTGCCAGCACTAAGCACGACAAAGTCACGAATACTCGTAAATCGGCTGCACAAACGATTTGTCCCTTTAATGGACGTATACACAGTTTTTATATCGGATAGTGTTTAGTTTGTATTTTATCAATTCGTAAATTTATTGAAGATATTCAAAATGAATGAAGGGATGGAATACTCTATACACTCGATATGTCGCATTTGCTTGAACCATTTGCGAAAAGATCCGGCATACGACCTGTTTCTTGTCCCTGGCCTGGCCAAAAAACTTTGCGTGTGCACTTCACTCTCAGTGGAACAGAACGATGGTTTCCCAAAAAACCTTTGCGGCGCCTGTCATACAAGGCTCAACGACTTACACGATTTTCAAAAGCTTTGTGTTGATTCCGTACAAAAGTTTAAAGAAATGGTCGCTAACAATTACTTTGTTCCAGTTATGAGCGATGTTGACAAAGTGACTGTAATCAATGATCCAATGGTTGATGGGGACGTGGATGAGGATCGCTTCGATCCACTTCTAAATACTAAAATAGAGATTGTGGAGGATGATGTTTTTAAAATGCTGGATGATGTGGATAAAGAAGTTCAGGAGGTTGAGAAGCAACTCTCAAGCGAGAGCGAATGTGATAACTATGACGATCCAGAGTTTGAAGTAAACAGCAGCAACTCTGAAGATGCTTTGCCTCTGTCCCGTTTACGAATTACTACCAGGGCATCCAAAGCAACCGCGAAGGAGAAACCCGTAATTGATGATGATGACTCTTCTAGCTTTGAGTGGAATACCAATGACGAAGAGTGCAAGGAAATACCTAAAACAAAAGCGAAACGCAAACGCGTTTCAAAGGCCGTAGCTTCACTTAAAACTGATCAATTTGATTGCCACGTTTGCCACGAGAAATTCAAAACCACCATGCTTTATGACGAACATATGAAACATCATAACGATCTTCTTCCTTTTCAATGTTCTGTGGAGACCTGTAAGAAGGGTTTTACCACGTCTACTGGGCTACGCCTTCATGTAGATCATGCTCATTCAGAGCTTTCCGCGGTCCATGCCTGCTCTGTTGAGGGATGTGGCATGACGTTTCCCCGACCGGTTTTACTCACGAACCATTTGAAGAGAGCTCACAAAATCATTACTCCTCGAGCTAAAGATCATCCTTGTACTGTGTGTGAGAAAGTTTTCCGTTGCTCGACGGCTCTTAGAAAACATATGTACAAGCATACTGGAGAGGAGAAGCCGCTTGCCTGCAACATTTGTAACAAACGTTTCCACATAAACAGCGAGCTGAAGGATCATCTGTTGCGTCATGCTGGTGTGAAGAATCATGTTTGCCCTTACTGTGGCGTGGGTAAGACTACTCGACAGGAGTGGAACAAACACATATTGACGCATACCAAGGAAAAGAAGTTCCACTGTGATCAATGCGATCATTCGTCACACAATAAACAGGCTCTGGCAAATCACATCAAGGTTGTGCATATGAAGATTAAGAATTACGCCTGTCAGTACTGCGGCAAGACATTTGGCAAGTCGTATACCTGCAAAGTTCATGAACGAATCCATACTGGAGAAAATGTTTGTGAATGTAAAATCTGTGGTAAGGTTTTACTTTTTGAAAGGAGCTTGACCAAACATCTAAAGATGCATGAGAAGCGCGAGCTACGCGAATCGAAAAAATCTAAGAAACCACGAGCAGGTACTGCGCAAAACAAGCTGAATGTTAATGGGGATGTGACAAATCCAGTCGAGGTTAAACCTATGCCAACGGAGCAAGCCAAGCCGAAAAATTCAAATAGGCTAGAGCGTGTTGATATATCAGAGTTGGCCGGCACAGCCGTTAATCCCATTCCAACAGTCTCTGTGGCATCATGGTCGCCTCAAGTGAACTTTACTAAGAAGGAGGGGCAGCATATTTGCCCAGGATGTGGTCGTGGCTTTAACCATCTTGCCAATATGAAGCTGCACTTTAAGATAATACACTTAAAGGTGAAAGACTTCGCTTGTCGCTTCTGTCCCAAGCGATTTGCAAAAGCTCCAGTCTTACGACAACATGAGCTGATCCATACGGGCGAAAAGCCTTTCCAATGCAAGATGTGTGATACATACTTCCGACAGAAGAGCGTATTAAAGATGCATATAAAAAGAAAACACGTTAACCCGACAAGCCCGAAGCCTGCAAGGGAACCAAAACCAAAAAGAGTTTCGGAAGAAAAAAGACCGAAGATGAATCTCAACGAGAAACCGCCTAAGCTTCTTGATGAATATCATGATCCTGCCTCAGAGGGGACAGCAGCAAGAGCTGCATTGCTTGCCCAACAGAAGGAGGAGTATGAAGCTAAGCAAAGGGCGGAAGAGGAAGCACGTAAGATTCAAGAGGCTGCATGCGCACAACTCCATATGCTACAGAAGGAGAAGCTTATTAATAAGCTACCCAGTGAAAGCTTTCAAGTAAAAAAGCCCGAAACTGGCATCAGTGTGGACGATCTTAAAAAAGATTAGATTTGATTTGGGATAGACATAATATGTACTATAATATTTATGGTTATACTTTTTCATACAATAATTTTAGCTAATATAAAATACTACATACATATGTATGTATTTTGCTTAAAAACTGGAATGGGATTTAATTATTGTGTTTTTATGTAGATTACATATATTAAGCATTTCGATATGAGATATGCATTTAATAAACAGCTGAGAAACTCTTAATTTAGTATACAAAGATGGTAGTAAATTATTTAAAACTTGTTTTTAGCATTCAATGAAACTATCGAGCCTATATTAAAATCATACTAATTGCTATTGTTGCTTACGAGTACTCGTGCAAGTAACCGATACATAAGATATCGTTATTATGATGGACGCGTATACACAGTTTGTCTCATCGGACACGGCCACTGATTAATTTTTCTTAAAAGTTAAACACTTGTCCAGAGAAAGGGAAATTAAGCAAAATGGACGAGGGGAGTGAATACTCCATACATTCGTTATGCCGCATTTGTTTGAACCATTTGCGAAACGATCCGGCATACGACCTGTTTCTTGTCCCTGGCTTGGCCAAGAAACTTTGTGTGTGTACTTCGCTTTCAGTAGAGGAGCACGATGGCTTTCCAAAAAACATCTGCGGCTCTTGCTACACCCAACTCAACGCCTTGCACGGATTCCAAAAGCTTTGCGTGGACTCTGTGCAAAAGTTCCAGGAAATGCTCGCAAGCAAATACTTTGTACCCGTCATGGCCGATGTTGACAAAGTTGATCTGATGAATGCTACTGTTCCAGATGGAGATATGGACGAGGATCGAACTAACTTTGATCCCCTTCTCAATACTAAAATTGAGGTAGTGGAAACTGAAGATGTTTTTAAAATGCTGGATGATGTGGATAAAGAAGTTGAAGAGGTTGAAAAGGAGCTGTCTAGTGAGGCTGAGTTCGAGAATGATGACGACCCGGAATTCGAAGTAAATAGCAGCGACTCGAATGACGCGCTTCCTCTGTCCCGTTTGAAAACTGTTACTAGAGCTTCGAAGGCCAAAAGAAAACCTGTGGTAGACGATAAAGATAAGGATAAAGATAAAGATTCCTCGGACTTCGAATGGGAAATGGATAATGACTTTGATAAAGAAGAACCTAAAACCAAATCAAGAAGAAAACGCGTGTCAAAATCCAAAGTCAAACAGGATGATGCCATTGATTGCCACATTTGTAACGAAAAATTCAATAGCACTAAGCTTTATGACGAACATATGAAACATCATAACGATCTACTGCCATTCCAATGCACTGTGGAGACCTGTAAGAAGGGCTTCACAACTTCTGGTGGACTACGCCTTCATATGGACCATGCTCATTCGGAACTCTCAGAAGTTCACGCCTGTTCTGTTGAGGGATGTGGCATGACATTTCCTCGACCGGTTCTACTCACGAACCATTTGAAAAAGGTTCACCAAATCATTACATCTCGAGCTAAAGATCATCCTTGCACTGTGTGTGAGAAAGTTTTCCGTTGTTCGACGGCCCTTAAGAAGCATATGTACAAACATACTGGAGAGGAGAAGCCGATTTCTTGCAACATTTGTAACAAACGTTTCCACATAAACAGCGAGCTGAAGGATCATCTGTTGCGTCATGCCGGTGTGAAGAATCATGTTTGCCCTTACTGTGGCGTGGGTAAGACTACTCGACAGGAGTGGAACAAGCACATATTGACGCATACCAAGGAAAAACAGTTCCAGTGTGATCAATGCGATCATTCGTCACACAATAAACAGGCTCTGGCAAATCACATCAAGGTTGTGCATATGAAGATTAAGAATTACGCCTGTCAGTACTGCGGCAAGACATTTGGCAAGTCGTATGCCTGCAAAGTTCACGAAAGAATCCACACTCGCGAAAACTGCTCTCAGTGCAATATTTGTGGTAAAGTTTTGCTTTTTGAGAGGAGCTTGACAAAGCATTTGAAGACTCATGAGAAACGTGAGCTTCGCGCAACAGCTGCAAAAGGGCGCGGTAAAGATGGTGCACAGAGCAGCCAGGACACAACTGAACCTGCGGAGATGAAGCTTATACCAACAGAGCCACCTAAGCCGAAAAACGGAAACAGGCTAGAGCGGGTAGATATATCCGAGTTGGCCGGTACAGCTGTCAATCCCATTCCAACTGTTTCTGTGGCATCCTGGTCACCCCAAGTGAACTTCACTAAGAAGGAGGGCCAGCACATTTGCCCAGGATGTGGGCGTGGCTTTAACCATATTGGCAACATGAAGATTCACTTTAAAATTGTACATTTAAAGGTGAAAGATTTCGCCTGTCGGTTCTGTCCGAAGCGCTTTTCAAAGGCACAAATCTTACAGCATCACGAATGGACGCACACCGGCGAAAAGCCTTTCCCATGCAAGTATTGTGGTAGACACTTCCGACAGGAGAAAGTGATGAAAATACATGCGAGAAGGGTGCACGAGAATCCGAAGAAACCAGAAAGAGAGGCTAAGCCTCCGAAAGAACCGAAGCCTCCAAAAGATCCTAATAGGGAGAAACGACCTAAGATGAATCTCAACGAGAAACCGCCTAAGATTCTTGATGAATATCAAGATCCTGCAGCAGAGAGGGCAGCAGCAAGGGCTGCATTGCTTGCCCAACAGAAGGAGGAGTATGAAGCTAAGCAAAGGGCGGAAGAGGAAGCACGTAAGATTCAAGAGGCTGCATGCGCACAACTCCATATGCTACAGAAGGAGCAGCTTATTAATAAGCTACCCAGTGATAGCTTTCAAGTAAAGAAACCCGAAACTGGCATCAGTGTGGACGATCTTAAAGGAGAATAAGTTTAATGGATATACTGTTGAATCCTTCAGTTTACATAGTATAATGTATATTTTTTAACTTGTCCATATTATACAATTTGTATTCCTTAAAAAATTTGTTATATCAATAACTTTTACATATGGCATATAATTAGTAATCGGTGTTCTCATATTATTGAATAAACAATATTCTGCCTTTACTAAAAGATAAACTTAAAAAGTACTTAAACAAAAATTTTTTTTTTCAAATTTTATAAAATTTTTATTTATAAATGAAATTCAAAAGGAGTATGCTAACGTACTTATAAAAATATCTAAAAACTATCGAAAGCATTTTGAAATCGAATTAGTGACGATTAATATTAGTACTCATGTGAGTAACCGATAAATAAAATGCTCGTTCCTTTTATGGACGCGTATACATAGTTTTTCTCATTTGACAGTGCTTGAAATTTTTATAAAATTTACAAACTATTCTGAAGAAAAATCGAAATAAGCAAAATGAATGAGGGGAGTGAATACTCCATACACTCTATATGTCGCATTTGCTTAAACCATTTGCGAAACGATCCGGCATACGACCTATTTCTTGTCCCTGGTCTGGCCAAGAAACTTTGTGTGTGCACTTCACTCTCAGTGGAGCAGCACGATGGCTTCCCGAAAAACCTTTGCTCCACTTGCTATACCCGGCTAAACGACTTGCATGGATTTCAGAAGCAATGCGTGGACTCTGCCCAAAAGTTTCAAGAAATGGTCGCCAACAATTATTTCACACCTGTTATTGCTGATATTAATCAAATTGACAATGTGGATATTCTTCAAGTACCGCCCCCGGATGGAGAAATGGATGAAGATCGCATCAACTTCGATCCACTTCTGAATACTAAAATAGAAATCATCGAAAACGAAGAGGATGTCTTCAAAATGCTAGAAGATGTTGATAAGGATGTGGAGGAAGTGGAGAAGGCGAAGGAGTCCTCAAGCGAGAGCGAAGCCGAAAATGACGATGATGATGTTGATTTTGAAGCAAATAGCAGCGAATCTGACGACGCTATGCCCTTGTCCCGTCTACGAAGCAGTACTAGAGCAACCAAATCGAAGGCAAAGAAAAAAGCTGATGATGATGATGATGATTCTTCTAGCTCTGACTCTGACAATGATGACGATGACGACGATGATGATGACGATAAGCCCAAAACAAAACCAAAACGCAAACGCATTCCGGCCGCTGAGCGACATCTTCACCGTCTCATCGATTGCCACATCTGTCATCAGAAATTCAAGAAGGCAATTCGTTATGAGGAGCACATGAAGCATCACAACGATCTGTTGCCATTCCAGTGTACTGTGGAGACCTGCAAGAAGGGCTTTACCACGGCTGGTGGTCTGCGACTTCATATGGATCACGCCCATTCGGAATTCTCTGAGGTTCATGCCTGTACTTTTGAGGGATGCGACAAGACATTCCCCCGATCTGTATTGCTAACGTTCCATATGAAGAAGGTGCACAAAGTGGCCAAGGCTGAAACCCGCAATCATCCATGCACAGAGTGCGAAAAGGTTTTCCGCTGTCCAACAGCACTTAAGAAGCATATGTACAAGCATACTGGAGAGGAGCTGCCTTTTGCATGTGAAATCTGTGGCAAACGCTTCCACATACACAGTGTGCTCAGGGATCATCTCTTGCGCCACGCCGGCGTGAAGAATCACGTTTGTCCCTACTGTGGCGTGGGTAAGACAACTCGTCAGGAGTGGAACAAGCACATATTGACACACACTAGAGAGAAGCAGTTCCAGTGTCGCCAGTGCGATCATTCATCTCATAATAAACAGGCTCTATCCAATCACGTCAAGGTGGTTCACATGAAGATCAAGAACTTTGCCTGCCAATATTGCGGCAAGACATTTGGCAAATCGCACGCCTGCAAGATCCACGAGAGACTCCACACGGGCGAGAATTGCTGCGAGTGCAAGATCTGTGGTAAGATCTTCTTGTTCGAGAAGCGATTGACAAAGCATTTGCAGATTCACGAGAAGCGTGAGATACCACCACCAACAGCTGCTGGCAATCCGACAGTCGAAGGAGATGCTCAAACAACACCGACTATGAACCAGGAAATGGCAGAGCCTGTGGACATCAAGCCCGTGCCAATAGTTCCGCCTAAACCCAAAAACTCGCATCGAGTTGAGCGTGTGGACATATCTCAGCTGGCAGGCACTTCTGTCAACCCCATACCTTCGGTTTCTGTGCCATCCTGGTCGCCGCAGGTCAACTTTACCAAGAAGGAGGGACAGCACATTTGTCCAGGTTGTGGACGGGGCTTCAACCACATTGGCAACATGAAACTTCACTACAAGATCATTCACGAAAAGGTGAAAGATTTCGCCTGTCGCTACTGTCCCAAGCGTTTCGCCAAGG